GTGTTTTCTCTTCTTGGGTGGTGTGCGAACCGACGGAGTGTTGTACTTGCGTGAGCTCTGGATCTACTACCCGACTGCGTTGGCCAGCTGGCACCATCCTACCTAGTTTTTGACACTTGATGGCACGCGGCGTAGGGCTTTCAGAGTCAGGTATTTTACCAGGACAGTGTTGGACAGGAACAGTATCTTTGGGCGTATCACTTGCTTGTTCCGCAGTGGATACATTGTTGTTGAGTACTATCTGGGGTTTTGCATTCTTACTTTGAAGTGGGATTCGGTCCTGAGCTATCTTAATGTATCTAAACATATCTCTGAATTTGACACTATTGTCCACCGAAACAAATTGCCCACAATCAAGGGATGATGTAAACAGGGATAGGATAGGGCATGCGAGTTGTGAGTCGGTCTTCCGAATCCTTTACAATCACAAGTAACCCGTGGCCTACTGCAGGCATCTAAGATCATGGCTTTAGCCTTTATGGTTATATGCTTTCCGGGATATTGTAGAAGATGGCTTTTTGTAGTGATGCAACTCGTTGCACCACCTCTGAGGCGATGAAGTCGACTAGGGTTTCAGCCTTTCGTACTTCCCCACTGTCTATATCTTTGCATCGACCAAAAAGATAGGTAATGGGTGCGAGCTGCTCCAGTGCGGTGCAGACTTCGGTTAGCATTGTATTAAGCTCAGTAATTTTGACCGCATTGGAAGTTGCTAAGTTACTGAGATTCGTGATAGAGTCAGTTACGCCTACAAAAGGATTTCGCTACCTATTCGGAGAGATTTGAGACTGTGTTTCGAACAGATCTGTGAAGCATTCACTTTTCTTGTCCAAGCTACCTGTTCGAGATCTTTTTGCCTAACTGAGTACAATTAATAAGTTAGTGTTTGGATTCTTTGGGGTAGGTATCTCACCAGGAAGGTGTTTCTTCGGTATAGTAACTGACAAAAGGACCACATTCGACTAGTTTATTACACAGACAAGCGAATGGTGGGGACAGTATCTAATTACTGATCCTCAGGAGGCTGGTGATTCGATAGCACAGATGATAAGTGCTCTGTTAGGCAGATAGGTGCTTTTGGCGTTCAAAAGTACTAAATCAAACGATTGGTGACCTTATGGTTCAAATGATCACGTGTATATGTAGCGCAAGTTACGGAGTCATCGCTGTTAAAGGCCTGACGGGGGTTTGTAAGTCCGGATCGAATGACTTGATGAAAGCTATGTAGACATTTTTACTACCATTTTCATACAGATGTAGGGCTATACACCAGAAAACCACCACCATACATATTAACGGTACGCACACCCGACGGACGTTCACGCCGTCATACTGTTACCATTATACTTCTTGTGAGTTCTCTATTCTAAAAAAGGCTGATATTTCTCAAGTCGTGGGGTCTCTATCCTAGTACTTAGCTTTTAGCGTTCCTTGCAATTATTCGCCACTCTGTGACGCAAGTAATGAAATTCGCGCTCCAAACTGTCTATTGCTTCTTCCCATTTCGCACTCACATTTGATTACTGTCCCACAAGTACAATCTAATGAATTTCTACCTATAATAACTTTTAACCGAACCACTGTCTTGATGTAGATATTCTGCTATCCCAAGCCCACAGGACAATTCGTTAGACAATTTTTGGCGATTATGTGCTGCGTATTTTACCCTTTCTCTCTGTACCAAAAGTGGATAACTTTTAATAAAGTATTCAATATTTCTCCCATACCCTTTTCTTTTGGGGAACGCGGTTAAAATTCATCCTAGTGAAAAAGTGATGTGTGCAAAAACTTATTTTAAACTGCTGATTATCTTCCAGCATTGAAGCTGCAACAGCCAGCTATCAAATTGGCCTAAGTATATGATCACGCCTATAGATTGGTGTGTACTTTTACTCATAAAAACAGACAAGCATTACGCTGGGCACTGCCAAGCGTGGCTGGATGGCATCCGCTTCTACGAAAATTTTATCTTTATCTGGACTTACAGAATGCAGTTGTAGTTTTAGAGCCGTGGAGGATGGCACGTGCCTTAGCCCATGATGCTCTTAGTGAAGACAAATCAGTCGTTCAGGCCAGTGCATCGGCCACAAGGTTATTCACACCAGCTGCGTGACGGATATTCGAAGTGAACTAAAAGACGCGTAATTCGGCTGGGGCCGTTAAGATGAGGAGTGGTTTTCGAATGCTTAACCAAGAGAGAAGGTAGATAGTATGTAGTCTGTAAGAATAGAGAATGCCGGAAATAGAGTACGAAAAGACATATACCCAAGAGCTCCATGCTGAACGCACCGCACCTTGTTTCCGCTTCTTGCAGCAGCCTGACAGAAAGGGATATTGGCAGCCATTTGTGGCAGATCAGTTGCTGCAAAGTGGCTTCTATCACCGGGTTGCATCGATCGATGAGAGTAGGGAAAAGTGCTTACAGGTTGTTGTACACCAACTCCGTTGCATTGGCGACGGCTTGATTGATATTAACGAGGGCAAGTCTGGTGACAGTTTCCAGGACTGTACGCTGTATTGTTATCAAACAAATCTATGGCGGTCGAGCCTGGGTCGTAAGTGTGGGGTATCGGGTAGACGTATGGCGTTGTCTCGGTTATAAACGGTAGGTTCGACACCAGTTGTTGCTACCATATTTCGGTATCGCGCGTAGTGGCAATATTCATGTGCTATCCGATGGCTGGATAGTGCCAAGTCCAAGCACTTGGCCGAATTTGTTCGGCGTGAAGCACTTTGGACGCCAAAAGTAGCCATATACCTGTGATGTAACGGTTAAGACTGCTCGTTTTTAAAACCAAGTATCTGTCACATATGGTTAAATAAGAGCGGCTTAGCTAATTAAAACTTGAGCCAACGTTGGCTGTGAACAGCTTTACGTCCTCATGTCAGTGGCCAGTCGGGATCAACGAGTAGGTCATAAAAGCTCCGCAAATCTGCGTCAAATCCAATGAATACTTTTGCGCAATGCAAAGCTAGGAGAGGCATGGCTCTTCCTAAAGGCCGTGATCTATCCTCCATAGGTCACCTGAGGATTAAAGAAAAGGGTGTAGCAGCGTTGTTCCGTCATTGCAGGGAGAAGGCGGACTTCTGCTCCGTCACCGATGCGAGGATGCATCGTTTCCGCTTCCGCGACTCATGGGAAAAGGTTGTCTGCATCCACTACTTTTGACACCAAAGCAGCCTTTGTTGAAAATGCACAGCTTCCCACAGTCTCATGCATCTTGGTCCTGTTGCGAAACCTATGACACTCATGGTTTCCAACGCAGTGGAGTTTGCTGCCGACCGGCCACGTGAAGTGCAGTGTGAAGATGAAATACTTTGTTGTTGCGTTGTATATTTCGACCTGACGGCTGAACTTCGTGGAAGTCGTTTAACAGAATTGCATAGCTCTCCTGTCAGAATCCAAAAAGACAGCATTTCTTTTACCAGAGTGCACCCTACAAGCAGGTTACCAGATGTTTGTAGCCCTATATCAGCCAAAGCTATCCAAAGCCAGTCGGGATGGCTTAGTGTTGCGCAGGCGTGCTTCGCATTAGATTCAGCAAATTTCAAAGAAGCTACTTGAAAAAGATGTCATAATCAAACATTGTCTGATCGACTGCTTGGGGCACTTGCATCAATCTATCAGTAGCTGAGTTATTCTGTAACCGGAAGTTATGAAGTAACTTGCCTAAACGTTAAAGATTCGTGTTATTACTCTTCTGCCAAACGGCTGTTATGAGCAGTGTGTGGGTCAGGAAAAGCATATTTACCGCAACTCACGCTTTCATCCTCCGTCACAGTGATCAAACAGCACAAAGGATTCTTAAACGGGGATCTGTGACGTTATTCCCCTCGAAATCAAACTCAGCATGCGGAAAACAAGCTTTTAGATTGTCTTGCCGGATTGGCACGCGGTGAACTGAGTGAGTTGTCAGTTTAGTACAGATAAGTTTGGGAGTTTAGTCGCACATGGATGTGAAAAGTACCCTTGCGGATACATAAAAAGTCAAAACTGTGAAGAAGCACACAAGCACAAGAACATGGGTTTATTAGTTTGGAAGTCGCCATGCATAATCTGAGTCGACAAAGAGGCCAACCACTAGTTCTTCGTACTTCTGAATGGCCATGAATATGATATAAGGAAGGGACACCATGAGGAAGGTATGTGTCGAGTACTCGAGTACTCGTGCCATTGTATGGACCAGTTGACCAGGAAATCATGCAAAACGGCGTGGGTTCCTGGCTGCGTGACTTCAGCTGAACAAGTGTATTAAAAATATTAAGGGCGGCATCATTGCAGAACACTGTCCTACCTTGGGCAAATGGTTTTAGGATTACTTACCAATACAGAAGTAGCATAACTGGTTCATATTGGCTGTCAGTGGACTATGGGTAACTTCACAATTCAATACTTAGTATCATACATTTATGAACTGATACAGACTGGCAAATGTGAAAAATTGTACTCTGTAAATCGATAGAACTCGTAAACGCAGTGAATTCTGAAGTACTATGATACTAATTCCCTGCTGGACTGAGAAGAATGCAGCAATCAAGCTAAAGAAGTTTTTGACCAGCTTTTTCTTAAGTGTCTTCAAGAAGGGTTGAAACATGCACTGTACATTTTATATTAAATCAGCAGTAATAACATAGCCTTTTGAGAAATCCGGAGTATTTGAGACACCGCTTCTTTGACAGTCTCTGTTCAGTGAGTTCTATGAATAAAAGCCAAAAGGGTACTCATTCCCTTGAACAATGGACAGATCACTTTTGTTATGTATCATCGGTGCAGTGATCAACAAAAAAAATATGCATAGGTGAAAGAGTAATTATGACTGCGTAGGCAAACTAGTTCTATCAGTTGCTATCGGCAGCATAAATGGCACCCTGTGTTGTTTAAATAGATAGGTCAAACTGGATTCAGCTCATAATCGTACTTAGTTGTGGTCTATAATATTCATATGGAGTATCGGAATTTAGGGGACTTGTTAATGTTCTAATGAAAATTATTACTTCTCATGAGTGAGGATCAACCTGAAAGTAGTAAGTGTATTTGACTTAATAACTTGTGAACTAGCTCTGAAAGGACAGTTTAGGGTTGAAGATGGTGAACTGATATTATCTGATAATGAAAATCAAGATGAAAAGCCAGATGACAGTCCTAACAGATCAAATTCGCGGAAAAGCCGCCGAAAGCAAACCTTTGAGAGACGCAATATCAAGTCAGCGAATTCTCTTCATTTTCATCATTGCGTTATAGGAAAGTTAGGGAGGATGTTCTCAGTGAGGAAGCTAAAGCAGCTCAAAAGGCAGAAATGGAAAGAAGACAACGCCTTGGTAATAAGGAGAAAGGAGACCAAGTTAGGTTTTCTAATATCGATTTTCTCCTCAATGGTGAGTGACTTGCTTACAATTTTTCACTGCTAATCTGACTGATTGTGAAAGACGACTTTTGTATTTTCTTGGTTTCCTAATGTTTCACAAAGTTGTTAGTTTGTGGGCTATAGCAGGACTCGGATGACTAATAACATTTGGAATTCCGACCAGCAACCACTTCAGGTACACCTTGAGCTCTGGGTATAGTCCTAAAAGTATCTCGGAATTTCCGAAAAGCTTAAAACTCGCTAAGGTGGGCATCGGAGTTATTCGGGAATGACACTCCAATTCCTGGAGTTTGTCCAAAGCCTTGTTTTGCCCAGTGGTTTCGGTATTGGTCGGGGGCTAATACTTCTGAATGTCTTTTACATAAATTAATGACTGTAATTGTCATTGCGACTCTAGCAAAACTGGAAGTACCGTATGTAGAGTTGGGAGTTTAGAAATCTCAACCGAAAAATCTGAATTACACTCATGATAGTACTATCTTGTGTCAATCTATGTAATTAATGCAAAATTAGACGTGTACAGGCTATACCGAAGTCTTACATACCAAGTCGTCAATAGTTGGGGTGGTTACACTAGTGTTACGACTCGACGTGACAATCTAGCCGAAGCTTTCTCAGACCGTTATTACCGTACTAAATTATTTGATACCCACTACATTCCTTACCGATTGTATGAAACTGGGAAATAGTATACTCCTGCTCATTTTCATTGTACGGTCAATCGCGTTTGTTTGTGTGATTCCTTTATGTTGCTTACAAAGGCTTCTGGTAGTTGCACTCACTGATGTCATAATAGTGTAGGTACTCACCTACAAACCTATGAACTTCATCCCACTAGCATTCATTGATTATATCGTTTGCGAATGAAGGACTTCAGAAAAACGGTGGGCTGAAACCGGTTTTCAAAGTAGTAGTTAAGATTGACTTTTCTCAAGGATGATTTGCTAATGGTCCACAATCGCCGTGAGTGGGTAGATTTTACAGTTAAAACCACCAGTGACTGGTTTAGTTTGGTTTGCCTATATTTTGATTACTTATAGAGGTCTCCAGGAGAATTTACGGAAGGTGGTGGGTATGAAATCACTTAGTAGAGTATTGGAGAAACTCGAAAAAACTGGTTGGGTTTTAGACCTGGACGAAAGTGCGTCAATCAGATCACCCTTCGACTAATTTTGGGACACGGGCGTACTTATCGGTGTCCGACATGTCATATTTCTTGAACTACAGGTGGTATGACAGTGTTTGGCTGCGAAGGGAGCACCGAAGAGGTATGTAATGCATAGCTCTTTGCTTGATCTCACGCAACTATGTAAAGTCTTATCGAACTTTGTCTTCCAAAAGGACGACAACTAGTATCGACCAAGAGTTCCCACTGTTCCTGTTTGATTTCATTGTAGATGCATTAATGGACAAAATTCCAGGTATCTCAGACTTTACAGAATTAACCTACTCTTGAATATGTCACTGGTTGACGCAGACGTCACTATCCTGTTAGACGTAAGCGCTGACAAAGTACCAGGTCTTTTGAACGTCCTGATCAGAGATCTGAGTTTGTTTAATCTGTGGTTTGCACCTATCAAATGTAAAGTGATGCTTCAGGACTGGCGTGCAACTACTCCTAGCTTAAGAATAGGAAAGGAAGTGATAAAATGCCTTGCTGACTTCACTTGGGCATTTACATCAGTTTGAACTGTCTGGTTACTGACTAAATTTTAGTTCGAAGACAAAAGTCTCGTCTAGCACTTACCATCCCTGGCGCCGCCCTACAACGTGTTACGGGATGACTATGCTGCGCTGCAGTTCATCGTCCTGCTCTATGATTATGGCATGACCATTGAAATTATATATGAAGTGACTACAGGTTTTTGGTCACAAGTGTCTTTAGAGTATTGCTCACGTATGTGGAAATCATCATGCGAGCAGTGTCTAGTTTAGGTGAAAAGTACTTAAGCAGGCACCTACACAAGTCGATGAGGTTTGTGAACACAGCGACCGAAGTGACTTTGACATGTGTTGCGCATATCAAGCCACTGCCTACATCTATACAGTGTTAACCGCTGTAATTATAGTGCCATAAATAATTGTATTGACTTTTAAAAAGGAGCAAAACAATGACATAACATCTACTTTTTAAAATCGGGGTATTTTCAGTGCTGTAATTGCAGCCACTTAATGTTTCAGTTTTCTGAGTTTCCAACTTAACAGTTGTGTACAAGTTCATTCGCTAGACAGTAATTCACATGCTTTATGCTACTGTGGTACTAAATAGCCATCCAAACGTCTGTAAGTGGGACGCAGTTCAAAACTATTATTCATCATCCGAAAGTCTACTGCTTAATTCAGTGAGCCACATCTATAAATACCCCTGGCTAGTGTCCCTTCTGAATGATCTCTAACGATATTCTTGTTTTTAAAAAAACTGGATAGATACAATGATTTTCGTGGTTTCTGACTCGTGTTTTGTAAATCTGCAGCGGAATTTCGTTGATGTAAAAACAAGTATTCTCCTGTTCATACTTTTTAGGGAGATCAAATGCATTTAATTCGGTTTCATCAGATCGTCTTTACCATTGTCCCTCAGTAAACGTAATTATTAAGTGATCTATATCGATGATAGATGACCTTTCCTTAAATAACCGCTTGATAGTTGCAGGCGACTTATCGGTGAGGTGAGTCAGTCCTATAGGCCTCCAAATATTCATTCAACCATATGTTCAATCCGCTAGGATGTTTCGTAGATTACTGAATCAACATTTTATTTATGAGTTTTTCTTTAGCGTTAGTAGTCGGAAACATTAAGAAAGATATAACATACAGAAATCGGTTGTTGGCTTTATCTCCTATTGTGGTTGTCATATTTAATGCTATCGGCACCCATGTTTGACCGAAGAAAGTGCTGAGCAACTGTGCTGATACTCTTTTTTGACTCCGTCATCAGTTTTGGGAGTCAATTATGTTTAAGTTTTCTGAGGAAGGTCAATTAAAGGGTGAGGTAATTATTTATTGCAAGATAGCATTTAGGTCTGAGGATGATTAAGGACAGTCAAACTAATAATGATAATTCCATCAAGTTGGATTTTGATTTTAATAACTTTCAAAGCTGGAGATTCCCGGGTGTTTAAAATCATGTGCTTAAAATCCCTGGTTTAGTGGTCCGAGTTGGGCGTCCGAGGATGACATGGAGGAGATCATGTGAGGAAGAAATGAAAGCTTGTGGGCAGTGATGGAGCCAGGTTAAAAAGACTGCAGAGAACAGAGTGCAATGGAAGAGTGCTACTGAAGCCATATGGTCCACTAGGAACCCAAGAGGAGAAAAATAGTGGTTCATAACTGGTTGCAGTGGCACCGATTGACTTGCTGCACATCTCCCTAGACTTTAAGCAACCTATTCAATACTTGCTTCCCCTTTATTTGTTTTGATGTCATTCTAATTTTTTGACTGTGTGCTCGTCATAATAACTTAAGAACTTAGACTGATTTGTCTTAGTCTCGGTAAAAGTCACCATTTAAGTACAGTGAGGGGTGTTGTAATAACCACAGCTGGCACTTCCGTAGTGGTGTCCACTTTCTGGTGTGTGTCTGTGAAACGACTACAGTAAGTTGTTGGAGACTATAGGTAATCCCGGCCAAAATGGATCAAGGTGTAAAACCACTTCTCTTGATTCGTTTTGTTTCTATTTCTCTTTGCATCCTTGTGATGAATTACTTTCATTTCTCTTTTTTCTCTTGTTGACTGCAAACCTGATTGAAGATGTTGCAACTTAGACTGTTACATAGTAGTGCAAAATCCAGTTTTGATCATATCTGTACGTTTCAGCTATTCAACCATAATGAGTACGCAGTCTTCAAGGTATTATATTCCTAAAGAGTGAATTGGCTTAATGGGACATGGTTTAGCGAATACGAATGACTTTCGAGATGTGGCCTAGGAGTGCAAGTGTTTGGCGCGTTATGACCTACTTTCCTTTGGACAGTTGTTTTTTCTAGTGTGGTTACTGTGAACTGAAGCTGCTGTTCACTCAATTGTTGCCCCAAATCTTTTACCTGTTTTTTTGTGTCCAAAAATAGATTCTTCAACGTCTCCCAGTCTTTTGAAGTGTTCTGATACTGACTTCGAATCTGGACTACAGGAGCCTGCTCCCATCTTAAAAAGAGAAAGGAAGTATGAATCTGATGCTGAAGAATGCAATTCCTTGGATAATGGTTCGACTGTAGACAGTCAACAAAGTTCGGTTGAAGCAATTGAAAAAGATGCCAAGCATTCTGTTTCTGATACCTTTACTAATGGAGAAAAACAATCGCCTATTGACAATTCATGCTCTGGTAATGGATCGGAACAGAAGCGAGTTGTTAGTTCCGCTTCTGCTGCACTTTTTGGCTCCACATGGAGTGATTTACAATCTCTTCGCATGGGTCAGTCACAAGATGATGCTATTTTACTTGGCGATTCTGATGACGAACAGGTAGGTCTGCTTTCTTAGCCATCCCATCGGGATTTAGCCCCACTTTTGTTTATTCGTATCATTTGACGATTTAAGCATGCCTTAGCATCTAAATAAAATGTAATTTCGCTACCATGTACAGGTCTGTACGCTAAGTTTTGAGCCATACCTATTGTGTGAATACCTGTGATACTGACTGCTCACGCCTCGGTAGGGAGAATGGCGTTTGAACTTATGACCCACTAATTAAAAGTTAACTAAATAAACCAGTGTGGCGTAACATCTCGTTGCATGAAGCTGTTACACTGACACCACTTGATCATAGCAGAATTTCTTGTTTTGTAAAATATCAACCGAATGCAAAGATATTCTGATGTATGGATTTATTCCGGTTGGAAGCCTTATATGATCTGGGCTTTAGTTGAAGTTAATCTGTTGTTTTTGAAGGTGCCAAACATTTGTTTTCGATCCGGGCTGTTTGATACCAGTCTACAATATGATAGTCACTGGTTTAGACGTCGTGAACTCCCCTTACCCTGATATCCTCTTCATCGATGATGTTCTAGTTCGTGTAATGGTCTATATATTGTGTAGAGGCTGACGATACTACTTCGTCATGCAAACCTACGACCTACTGACTGTAACTTAAATGCTTAAATTGATGAACTACAACTCTACCAAAAGCTAAAGCGATTTTAATATATCATACTTTTAATAAAATTACAAATAATAGGATGGTGGATTTCAGACTTATTATTGTTATCATCATTTCGAAACCTGGACGGTAGTTTTGTATAGTATCATATCCTCTAACTCATCTGTTTTGCTTCCATTTTAATCTGTTTATTGCATGTCACACGGGGAAACAGTATAATAATACTATTTAACTAAGTGGCACATCTAGTGAACAGAACAAAATGGAATAACGATCTATCACAGTGCACAGGTTTTACTCCTATATTGATGTGTTTTACTTTCTACCGCTTAAATTATTTAGAAACGATAACTGATTCCAAGATTTACTGTCTTCATATTCTTTTTTCATCTTCATTCACTTCTCTGCATAGCATCCTGATTCAAATGTGATTGAGGTTAGTGACGGTGAAGATGAACCAGAAGCGGAAGTTGAGGCGGAAATTTGTGAAATACAAGATGCTGACAATCTAGCGGATATTGATGGCAAGATTATTATCAACACATCTCGTGATCAAGATGAGGAACCAGAAATTGTCTTATGCCCTCAAATGGCTAGAGTCATTAAACCACATCAAGTAAGTTTAATCAAAAGTAAATCATAACCTCAATCATTTACGAATCTCCTTTATCTAATCTAATACATTTCTCGCTGTTGAACCGCTATATATTGGAAAATGAGCATGGATTTCCTTTTCTAGAATGTATAAGATTGAGCATAATAATCAAAAAACAAATTTTTAATTTCCTTCGAAAGATTACTCAACAGAACTCGTGGTCATACCACAACTGGCTACAGTCGAATTTGTGAATTGTGCTAAAGAAAAGTCCAAACGAGCAGCAGTTATTACTTATTTTAAGATTACAATCGGCATTGGCAAATTTTAAAGTCATATTAGAAAGCATTATCCTTTATCAGTATCCCGGTGTCCAATATGCTTACCATCCATTTATACTCGATATTGTCTTCTTCCCTCCTCAGCCTTCATAAGTCGATGGGTATTAGTGTGTATTCTTATAGGTTGTGTTCGCCACAATACGTTTTAAGGTATACTGAATAGATTATTTTCCACCACTCAACAGGGGATTCCGATCAAGGCATAACTTTCATTTCATGAGAAGCTATTTCGATTAGTGTACACGTTTAAGTCCGGAGCCTAACAGGGAAGTTCACAACTTGAATTTTCATCTGATGCAGTTTTGAAACCCTTTTTCTTAACCTAAATTCAATTTGGAGGTTTGTGAGGATTTACTGATTTCAGTTTGGTATTCATCATGGACTGACATCAGTTGGAGAAACATTGAAAACCTGGGAGCATTGGACTGCCACTTTATCGTGATAGGGGACTGCTCAACACTGCACACCCATAACTTCACCGAGGATCGGACCCAGGACTTTCAAATTCCATGGTCAGGACCTTACCGTTGAGCCACTGGGTTCGATTCCTGGTGGAGTCATGGGTGCGCACTGCTGAAGGGTCCCATACTAGGACGAAGCAGCTGTTCAATGCTCCCAGGTTTCTACTATTTCTCCAACTAATCTCAGTCCACGATGGAATACCAACTTAACCTTAATATCTAGCAAAAGTCTCAAGACGTCAAGGGAACAAATGGTATGCTATTCAAAACAATATCAGAGACCACTGAAATGCAGATTCCAAAGTGTATTTACTGTCTTATGAAGTCAGTTAAAAGATCCCAAAAGATCTGGCGGGAAAGTTACTTGGTTCCATGTAGACGTCAGAGCAAATGCCTTTAGGCAAAACACAGAAAGAATGAACGGTGAGGAAGTTACAGACTAGTTATTGCAAATCTAGTGTTCAGTTTTATGATAACTAACACACATTCTTTTGACGATTGTTGTACAATTTCTAATTACAGGTTAGCGGTATACGCTTTTTATATGATAATGTAGTTGAAAGTGTGAAACGATTTCAGACAACTGATGGATTCGGCTGCATTTTGGCTCACAGTATGGGACTGGGTAAAACTATTCAAATTATCGGATTTCTCGATATTTTGTTCCGCTTCTGCCAAGCTCAAAGGGTTCTTGTTATTGTCCCTATCAATACTATCCAGGTATGTTATCATTACTATTTATTGTTGAGTTTTTTTTCTCCAGCATAACGTCATTGTTACTAGACATTTGGAATGACAAAATACAAAGGGGTCTCAAAAGTGTTCAACACAATTTGATGACATAATTGAGATGTAATTGAAAAATGGTACTCTTGAAGACCCATAATTCAAATGAGTTATACCATTTTATCTTTGAACAGATGAGATTTCTTGTCAATGTGTATACGGGGTCTACCGTACGTTGCTTGCGTATAAATTTAAAAACAGAATTAGTCGGGACAGTCTTGAAGATGTTCTCGAGATGGGACGCTTATGCATATACATACATCATATCTTTTAACCACACCTACTCCGTAAATGTTCTCATAGATGTCTTCTCGGTTCGTCTTTTACGTGAATTTATATGCTTGAGATTTTACATTGCTGAGTTAGGGAGGTTTGTTCTATCCAAGTATCGTTCATCGTGATATCTGTTAGCAAACTTTCTGATTTTTATGGTTTCCCATAAATACTTTTGTCTAAAGTTTATTAAGTGAGTTCATTTTACACCACATTATATGGCTTAAATTTTGTTTGTGTTTAGTGCTCTAGGGTTTGATAGTCGATGTTTTGTCTTTCATATGTAGATTTTTGTCGCTAATAGGTTCGTTCAGGTCATTGCCTTGCTCTTGGCTCTGTTTCAGGTTGTGACGTGGTTATCTGATGAGTAGTTACAGCTTTTCGAGCATTTGTGTCTTCGTAGCACTGCCCGCGTGTTGCGGAATTACCTTATGAACAATGTTGAGGTCAGGCGAAAGGTACTAGGCAAGACAGACAAGCCGATTGATGAGGTTGTGGACGTTAATCGACTGAGATGGCTTGAACATGTACTGTTCATGCCAAACCACCGCCTACCTCGACACCATGCTAAGAGAAGTTAGATTAAGTTGGAAGAGGGTTGAGGGTGCCCAGACCAAGACCTGGCACCAGTCGATTAAGTCTCTTACTGATGGTGTGAGCTGTGTGGGATGATGTGGACTATCTGACTGGGGTCCCCGAGACGATAGCTATCCGTGATTGAGAACTCTTGGTGGTGACATGGTTGGAAATCGGTCACAGTGGCACAGATGTATTCACTTCTTGACGTTTCCTAAAGTAAATATTCACACTAACCGTTATCTGCAGATTACTTATACTCTTACACTACGTGATCTACTTTGATATCACCTCTTTTTCTATCCACCTGTTCTTTTTGTACTTTTGTGAAGTGTGGAAACTTGAGCTGATGCACCTATGTGTTAGGTTCTGCATTGATTCTGTTAGTCATAGTGTCAAGCATATATTTGAAATTTCAGGAAAAGCATAGGCTTGTTGTGTTTATGTGTTGTTAAATGTGGGCTCTTGTCATATGGAGACGCTGACAACTTATGGATTCTCTTAACACTTATAGTACTGGTTATTGAAACGCACCAATAAGCATTTTAGTGCAAGTTGTTTCTTCGGAACTACTCTTTATCTATACTAACCGCACCTAACAATATGGATTGCATTGGTTCAGCGAGTTGTCAACTTGGCGTATGCTGATGAAGTCACTGTTGGTTTGAGAACAATGCTTGCGTCATGTGAGACCACTACGTAATGATTGGGAAGGTTGGAAGGTAAGGTCCTAAAGAGAAAAGTCGGTAATAAGGTTGTAAACCATCGATTAAGACGGTTCAGTCAGCCGTTCAGAATCAACATGAGACCTGGCGTTACTGCATAACGACCCATGTTGCCACGCCTCATCAGCGCATCAAGGTAGGAGGCACCAGGTTAATAGAGAAATTAAAGAAAAAAGTAATCAAAGTGGTAGAAAGTCCAAAGAGTGAACAAAAAAGAATGAAACAGTAATGAAATTCAGCATGCCAGTCAATATGAAGATAATATGTGGATACATGTACGCCACTGAAATCCATTCTGAGCCATATTATTTAGAGTCTCCAGTCACCGATTTTGGTCATCATGTAAATTGCAACCAAGAATTCTACATTAGCTTGCTTGACTCATACCAATAGTTGAAGACCTCATGAACTGATGTCATGTTTTAGTCTGGTCACCTCTAACCTTTTTCCAGCTTGAACCTACTTGAGATAACATGATGTTACGGGGTAGACAGTGACTAGGCATTCGTAATACATATTGCAGTCATCTGAGGTTCACAGGCTCATAAACTGACTCACCTTTTTTACTCATAACTACACCTGATTTCTAAGTTATTGACGTGGAGATACCACGACACAGCTTATGTTAGGAAGCGCTACGGTGATCAAACATCTGAAGTTCCCTCATGTTCACCTTTAGTAGCTGTGTTTCACGGTAATTAGTGCACATATTACGCACACTGAGTCAGCTTACACGCCATCTGAAGGTGGTCAAACCAGGAGACACATCGTTGGAGTTTATGACCATTTCTTTGAGCGATTTGGAAAAATATCAACTTCGTATTAGGAGTTTATAAGGTGAACGAACTAAATGTTTCAAGATTGGATGGTTAGGTTTAAAATTGATTACAAGAGCGCAGATTTATTGACACTTTATTTAAACTATAATATCTCAGTTTGTATTCGTTTATATGTATCTTGTGGTGTTTTATGACTTCTGATAATATATTTTATGCTTTGGACATATTCTGCGCATGCCAATCCGCCGCCTCCCTCAACGTACCTTGTTAAGGGGAGGTGGATTAAGTTGGAAGAGGGTTCAGGGTGAGCAGATCAAAACGCGGCCCTAGTTAATGAAGTCCCTGACTATTGGTTTGGGTTGTTGTGGGAGGAATGTGGACTGCGTGGTTGGGGTCCCCGAGAAGAAAAGAATCGGTGGTTAATAACTCTTGGTAACATGGCTGGAGATCAGTCACAATGGTGCAGATGTATTTACTCCCTGACATCTAAAGCCTGAATATTTGCACTAACCGCTATCTTCAAATAGCTTATTCTCTCACATAACTTTATCTTCTTTGATATCAGCCTTTTTTTATCCACTTGTTCTTTGTATACTAGTGTGAAATGTGGCAACCGGAGTTGATGGACTTGTGTGTGAGGTTGTACCTTGAATTTGTGTCTTTCTTCTTTTTCTCTTTCCTTTTACTAGTTTCTACCTTTATTTGCCTAGTATTGGAGTGTGGTAACTTAAACCATTTGTCTGATATGTTATTAGGCATAAGGTTCTTATCAATGTCAATATGGGGTATCTGATTTTGTGTTAGCTGATTTGACTTCTGGTCGTATATGATTTTTTTTTTTTGATCGACCTGATGTAGGCATAGTAGGCGTTTCTATTCAGCTTCGGTAATCGTCTAATCGTTGCCTAGGAAATACGATATTTTTCGTAAGTTTTATACCTTCAAACAGTGTAACCAACGAGTGAGCCATCGAGATGTAGCTATTTATGCCTAGTTTATTGACAGTACTTTTCTTTTTTTCCGATGAATTTCAGAATTGGCAAGCTGAATTTGAGCTATGGTTGCCAACTGACTTATCAACTTGTACAACCAACAAAAAGTCGAAATTTTTTCAACGCTTTACAGCCTCAAAATGTGATACAGAATCAAAGTTACCTGCATCTTTTTCTGATCATACAGATTCTTCTATTTGTGTTGAATCAAATGTCCCACTTACTAGTCCGAATGAAACAGATTCCAACTTTGAAGAACAGATGTGGTGTTCTATGTTTGAAAAGTATAAATGTGAATCACGAAACGGTTTACAAGATACATTACATGAAAATAATTTTGAAGAACCAATGGACTCAAGCTTTTCTTCTGTTAGTAGTAGTAGCTTTCGACCTTTCAAGTTATTCGTAGTTCGAGATACAGTAAAAACAATGAGTCAACGGCACCAGGTAAATGAATTCTTGTTTTGATATTATAAGTATACTAGGATTATACTAAAATACTTTTGTAAGTAAAAAAATATCGGTAATTTTGCCAGTATTACAGGAAGCAGTGTATTCACTATGGACATATAGAATAGTGACATTTTGGTGTGCTACTTTGGCTTGTCCATCACAGTCAACGACAAGTTACGTCGGTCGGGTCATACTTTGCTGGAAAGTCATCTGTAAAAGGCTGTGGGCACAGTGATTTCAAGTCTGTCAAGCCAGGTGTGCTTTTGACAGTATCACGGTGTGACAGCAAATCAGTGTTTTGCACAGTCAACCGACATCTTAGAAGGTAAGAGTTGGTCATAAAAGCAGCATATACGTGTGTGGAGTTCCACCGATGGCAATAAACTTTATAGACCATAAATAAAGATTTACGCCAACAGAGCTTTTCTTATATATTTGCTTGGTTATGGCTAGCAGAGGAATCCGGTCCTATTTGGGGCTCGTCAGCTGGGTGTAACTGCACCCCAGTGAGTGGTTTTGTTCCCACTGAGACTCGAACCTCGTACCCATCGCTTCAGACACCACAGCGTTATCCACTGAAGCACGATAGCCAACTCTTGTATAACGGGTATTGGTTATATCCATACAGATGCCTCGATATTGCCTGAGTATTTATTGCGGTAATTTACCTGGTTGTAGGTAGCAGTGGGAACAACATCACTCACTGGAATGCAAGTACATCGAGCTGACGAGTCCAAAATAAGACGAAACGCGAGTCCTGGATTCTTCTGCTGGCCACAACTAAGTAAATTACCGTAATAAATATTCAGACAATATCAAGGCATCCGCATAGGGACCCATTTGCCAACAGGCGGCGAACAATTGGATCCAGGAAAACAACGGAGAATTACAAGTACATCAACAAAGAGTTAGAACTGTTCTGATCTCAAAACTTCAGAGATAAACCAACTTTCTTTTGTGGTGTCTCACATCATTTGATCTACTGTCAGATGTTGATTGCCAGGTGGATTTTTAAAGCACTTCTATCCCTCCTGATCATCCCTTATCTCTGTCTACTAATCTCCTTTTATTTTTTCTATCTGTTTGCTTCTACACACTTTTTAATTTCTCCTATATGTGGAATATGTTGTTTATTAGGAACTTCAATTTGATGTTTATGATGTGAAACAGCTTTCTCATTTGCACATAGAAGCGTTAGCAGTCAGACTTAGTATCGAACTGAACAACGGTTCTTATTAGCCAAAACCTTAACATTCTAAACTGTAGATGTATGTTACAGATTTGTATTCAAGGCGGCTACATCAATATTTTCATTCCACGGCTGTGGAACACTCAGTTTATCACATCACTGAAATTAATTCAGTCAACTTTCTGATAAATTTCATCTTCATAATCATTGGGGGGGGGGGGTGCAGTACATGATGTCACAAGTGCTCTTCAATACGCCATTTAGCTGTTCTCATGGGTTTCGCTACCGTTGGCTGGAATGAGACAAAGCAGCTACTGTAATGCAACTTTGTAATTACCAGGTTTTTGGGTTCTGCATGGATTTCTTCAGCGAAACAAATTAATTGAATCATTTCACTTTAAACGGACCTGACACTGTATGGAATTGACGATTTTCAAGTGTTTGGTGGTTGGACATGACTAGTAATCTCGGACGTGTGTAGTTGGTAATTTGATCACGCGTCGCTTATTCACACTTTACTGAAGACTGACCTTAAATCTGGCAACAATCTAAATGGTATTATCTTAGCAGTTGAAAGTATTGTGATTGACTACCGGAAATTTCTCGCAGAATTTTTATACTAAAATTATTGAGTCTGACTAGGAGTAAAAACTGGTCACTGTGGTAGATTGTAATTCCACTTTAGTCTGTTTATTAGAGTTGTCACACAGTGAACTAGTATCGTTTACTGGATAACATTTCGGACAGAATTTATTGTCTACTTTTGTGTCAGGTAACCAACTCCACAACTTTGAAATATGGTTTATATATTTATATAAACTATGATCAAGATTTGATCGTATAGTATGGCAAATATTGGGCGCTGGGTTTCCTTGCTATTTTAATTTTGATTATTTCCCTGAAGAAGCTCGGACCAGACATCCGTGCAAAACAACGTTGGAATTATTTGATTTCAAACCAGCTGTGACTTATACAAATAAAATCTATATCTAATGGTTTGTATAGTTCTAATCCTCTCTCCTTCTTTGTGATAAGGGTACCCTCATCACAAAGTTGTGAAGTTAGTTACCTGATATGAATATGAGCAATAAATTATGCCCAGAATGTTATCCAGTAAATAGTAGTGTTTCAGTGTGTGATGCATCTAGTAAACAGACTAAAACGGGTACAGGTTGCCATAACTTGGAGTGGAGGGTTGCACCATGTGACGGAAGGGAATACCATTCAAACACTTCACATCGCTTCAGTATTTGTAATCAAATATTCGATTGTGTGTATATATGGCGGCTTATGCTGATTTGTCATCTTTGGAAGGAAGCTATTTTAGGGCATCTTATTTAGCAGGTATCTCTTCTCAGTTTTTGTTAAATCTAACGATTCTAAATATTTCTTTTCCTTTGTAATAAAAGCACGAAAGTAGTGTACTGATTGACTCTGTGTACTGAATATTAGCTTCAACTTTTCGTTTCGAATGTACCTCACCGAACTGCCCTTCTATTCTTATTTTATTTTTATCGACTCCCCATCGCTTTATGTCTTCATAATGTTGTTGTATTATTTTGTGTGGCGCATTTCTTGGTGCCCTTGTTGTACCACGTTTGTGTTCTAATAAATACATAAATAGTAGGTTATTCATGGGTGAATTAAGACCTGTCGCATCAACAAATTTGTGAGTAAGATGGGATATCTGCAGCTGATAATGAATGACAAATTCTTGTTGTACCTTGTAATGCATACGCCTATTGGTAGTAATTGTCTCGTATGGTTTATTTACTGTAATTATTGTCCACCTATCGTGGTTATTACAGTTTGCGAGTCAGTTTTTTAATGTAATACATTTTGCTATGGGTTTTTTTTCTCTCCAAAGATAATTCAACAGTGGTTCGAAGAAGGTGGAGTTCTGTTATTAGGTTATGAAATGTTCCGGTTACTCCTCAATCAAAAGCGCATGAATCCTCCGCCAATCTACACTACGAAGATTGATATGCGAATGTCTAAACGCCGAAAGAAAGAAATGTGTATTGATATTGAAAAGGAAGAAAAACGAGAAAAGATGTGGGCAGGTAGGTCATCATATACACTAGAGAAGTTAGATTCTTTTCCTATGGTATGTATAGTCTCATCTAAACTATGTTTGAATTATTTGAGATACTATCAAATTTGGTTTATTCAGATTGTCGGCTATACAATACAGTAACATAGTTCTTCGACATCCTGTTTTGTTTGTTTGATTGTTATACACTTTCATCCAACTGTACGACACTGAATATTGCAATTATGACCACTTAGTAGCAGTTTTTTTTACATATTTCAATTTACGCGGAAATACGTAGGAAACAGAATGTGGCGCAAAACACTCATTCATTTATATAAAAGTGGACAAAAGTGTATGGGACGAGAAGAGATTCGAAAATGAAGGTTAGTGAAAATATTCAGGCTTTCGAGAGTGAATATATCTGCGTCGTTGCGACCAATTTTCAGGCATTTCATTAAGTCTGCCATTATTGATTCCTATACTGTCGGAGACCTCAACCAGGCAATCTACACCTATATATACGGCTCAGACCAAGAGTCAGGGACTCCATGGATTGTCTCAGTCTGTCCATTCTGGACCCCGTTCCAAGCTAATCCAACTTCTGCTAGCATTGCACGTCGAGGTAGGCAGTGGCTTAACATGCGCAAAGCAAGTCCAAATCACCTCAGTCACTGAAGGTCTACCTTGACTGAATTTTTTGCCTTTCCTGGTACCCTTCCTGTAACCTCGTTACTGCTCACATGGTGATTCCACCATTCGCGAACGACACTTCTATGATCGAAAATCTGTAATCTCTTCATATCTTCTCCTCCGAATGGCCATATCTCAGCTGTATAGCAGCATACAATGAACTGCAATGCAATATACTAATCCTTTTGTATGCGGTGGGTTATCGTGTGATCCGGCGTCAAAGGTGACGCAAGTTGGCAAATCCCAAACGGGCCTTCTGTATCCGAGCTGAGATTTCACCAACAACCAACCTGTTTGGGCTGGTGCAACTGCTCGTGTAAGTGAAGTGGTCGTTGCATTCCATCACACTACTCACTATCCTTAAGCTGGGAGTAGTTACAACACAATCTTGAAGCACCATCTTACTTTTAATAGGTGTGAGATACATGCCAAACATACTCAGATTTCTGCTCAACGCTTTCAGAAGACCCTGCATTTTGCCAGCGTCTTCACTTGGCAGGGCATTGTCAAGTCAACTGGACACCCTCCAGGGAATAGATCAATCACTATAAAGTCAGAGACACCTAAATTTATGTCCATTAGAGCATTTATAGCGTAGTTGAACAAGAATAGTAACAGTGGGCATTCCGGACGAACACTACTACTAGCGTTTAATTCACATATCAATTATTCATAGGCCCCTACACGATTGTGTGAATTTGAGTAGAGAGCTTTGATTAGGGTTATAGGCTAGTCGGATACTCCCTTCATACGTTGAACACCCCCGCCACACCTCATGGTTGACAGAGTCAAATGCCACCTTCAGGTCAAGAAATATGACAAGTCATCTTAAAACTATGAAAGTATAGCTTTCCGAATATTTGTAAAGAAATCAGGTTTACTGTATATGTGTATGGGTGTGAATTGCATCCTTCAAGTGTAAACTCGTTATTCGGCACTAACATCGACACGCAATCAGTATAACCTATAAAATTGACAGACAAGCTCAATGACACATTTCGAACTTACATGAAGTCACTGTCGTGTCTAGCCTCTTACCGATATACCACTTATGTTGCCCGGGTCACGTACACTTAGAGACTTCATATCTAGATCATTAAACCACAGTGGAAATCTTGCTAAAAAAAGGAGTTCTGCGCTACATATTTTCTTAACTTGTGCCATCACTGATTTAGGGTGATCTAACATTCTTGATACCACTAGACGGCACCGATGCCGTGACCGTGAAGTGGATTGAGTGAATTAACGACTGACAGAAAATATATATTACCTGGTTTCGATGCAAGGTTTTTGACTTCCCCCCCCCCCTCTTAGGTAAGTGTTTATATCCATTGTTTTGGATCAAATTGAGTTCCATGATTTGCTGATTGAATTCATTTTGAAACAGTGTATTATTGGAACCTTCCCTTTTTGACTTAAGATGTGTTGAGTTGTTAACAAACCACACTCAACCTTAATGTAAATGTTTAGGTTGGCGAATCAGCGTAATTTAAGTATGAGCATCTATCAGTTTATTTTATAGTCTCAAGGCACCTTTTCCACCTGTGAATCATAGTCTTATATTCTTGACTGGATGGTTTCCAGTACAAACCTTATCAGCATCACAGTTGAGTAGTTGGTACACAGCACTGAAGTGTGTAAAATGTCTGCATCGATTGTCCCGTTTGTAAGTGATTCACAGATTCATCTAATTCAACTTAATTTGTTTAAGAGGCAATAGTTGGGCTATTATTAGTATGATTTATCCCTTAGGTTCCCTACCGGAACATAGGGCTTCAGCAGCACGTCGCCATTTAACTCTTCTCTGCAGTTTTCTTTTTAACCTGCCTCCACGACTGTCCATAAGCTTTCATTTCCTCCTCACACGATCTCCTCCATGTCACCCTCGGCTTGGACGCCCAACTCGTCGTTTCCCATTTGAGTTCCACTTGAGGGCCTGGTGCGTGGTGTCCCCAAATGGTCTTCTCAATGCATGTTCAATTTATCTCCACTTTCTCCTACATACTCGTTGGGCAATAAGTTCTTGCTTGGTTCGTTGCCGGCCAGAGTTCTTCGTTGCTTATTCTTTCTCACCATCTGATCTTCGGTGTCGAGTGTAGGCGGCAACTGTTGATGTTTGTGTGCAGTTTGTTGGAAATGCTTTTCATAACGCACCGTCAAGTCTCTCAACCATCACGTAGAAGCACTGACTTGACTGACACTAGTGTTGAGAATCCGGATGTTGTTCACGCTTTATGCTGAGTGCAGTACAGTGGATCTCCACACTGATTTCAGGTTAATGAAGGAAGGCCTGTGTTGGTATTTTTCCGACAGTGGCTTTAACATCGTCATCTGTGCCGCTGCCGCCACCTGTAGTTGAGAGGATGCTACATAGGTAGGTAGGTAGGTGGGTAGGTGGGTGAAAGAGACAACTTCGTTTAGATTTCTCCCATTGAGGGTGTTGTTGTTGGTTGAGTATCTTCATCACTTCTGTCTTCCCTACGTTCACGTGAAGGATGTGCCGTCTTCCTTCGCTGCCTCGCTTCGCCTCACCTCTTCTGTCAACTTGTTAGTTTTCACCTATAGATCGTCGAGTTTGTGCGACAAGACACCAGACATAAATGATCATCAGCAAAATCCAAATCTTCCAGGATCTTTTTATCGGTACAGCCAGCCTATGACCATCTCGCTCCTCACTGTTTGCTGCATGATCCAGTCCACCACAATCAGAAAGACTATATACTACTTGATCAGATCTATAGCTTTCTGGTTTAATCGAGTTCAGTGTCTTCTGAGCGCACACATCATGTGTTGTATTGATTTGAAATAATCATTCTGTAAGTAACATTGCTTGGTAACCGGCATTTTACTTACAAAGTACTAGGCGTCTCTAGGACACAAGCTTCACAAGGAGGTGGAACTTATAGATTACTCACAAGTTGTTTAATTTAATATCTCCCAAAAATCTGAAAATAGTTTAATAATTACTTAACTGTTAAACGTGGCATTCGTATTATTTGGTGGAAGAGATTGATTGACTTCGTTTTCATGATCTTTCTTTCTAACACTGATGTGTAGACTGGATCTGTTTTAACACGTACAGTTTAGCCTATATCTTTATGCCCAAAATTTCTACACTTTTCCAGCCAAAAAGGATGTTCAGGATTGATCCACTTGTCTCGCTGTAGGTGATAAGACTGAATGATGTTTCTAGAAATGCTTTATAAGTCACTTGGTTCAGAGAACATTGGATTAACTAAAATCATCTTCCGTAATTAGGCTATGTTGGTTGTATTGTGTTCTTTGAGCTGGGTTGTTTAATCGTGGAGCTTTCATCGCCTTGCTAGACGACATCATCAGGATTGACGTCAGAGCAAGCTACTAAATCACTCACGGAAAGATATTGACAGCTCATTTCATACTGAATTTAGTGCTGATGATGTCGTCTAGCAAGACGATGAACGCTTCACGATTAAACCATTCAGCTCAGAGAACACAATACAACCAAGACCATCCACATGAGCTACAAATATTCTTCACTATTTCTTAATTAGGCTATCCATTGTAACCTTTTTTAAAGAACTCCGTCATAGTTGTGGTTATAGTATGCAAGATTGAAAGAAGAAGCTGAATGAAAGGCTGGCTTACTCAGAGTTACTTGATTCCTTACCATCGGAGTTATGAAGTATGCCTATTAACATAGTTGTTAGTCCTTTACAATCAAAAGTGTGTTGTGCCTAACCATTGAAAGAATTCATGGGTTTGCACTGACGTCAGAAGCTTCCAATCACATCCAGTTGGATTATTCAAGTTAATTTTTAGGTTATTTTTTCCTGTAAGAATCACTAGTGAACAGTTTTGGGAAATGCAGAAAAAAGAAATCTATAATCAACGCTCCTCAAAGCTTACATTTGTTTATCGCATCAAAAACTTCAAATCTCTTTTTCTTTTGTTAGATTTCCATACAGCACTTTTGGATCCTGGTCCTCAGCTTGTTATCTGTGATGAAGGTCATCGAATCAAGAACAGTGAGGCTTCAATTTCTAAAGCTTTGAAAGCGATTAAAACACAGTGAGTCATGTCATTAACACACTGAGTAGATTTTTTCAATTCTACTTTCTCACTTTCACCTGACTGTTTTATTTAATTTTCTTTTATTATTTCCAGTCGACGTGTTGTTCTCACAGGGTATCCACTTCAAAATAACCTAATGGAGTATTGGTGTATGGTAGATTTTGTTCGACCTAATTATCTTGGAACAAAACAAGAGTTTACAAATATGTTTCAACGACCCATTGAAAATGGTCAGTGTATAGATAGTACACCAGAGGATCGTAAAGTTATGCAAGGACGGGCACATGTTCTACATGATTTATTATCTGGTTTTGTTCAACGACGTTCTCATGCTGTCCTTAAGGCTAGTCTTCCACCGAAAACTGAAATCGTCTTACTCATTAAATTATCCCCATTACAGCGTACACTTTATGCAGCATTTATGCGAAGTCTTGGCTCTAATGGTCCTCTTGGTTGGGCTCAGGTTAATACACTGAAAACCTATGCCATGTGTTGTAAGGTAAGCTTCATTTTATTTGTTGATTTAAAAGAAAGAACCAACTCATTTCGTTAGTATTTGTAATCAACAGTATTTTTTTGGGGGGGAGGGGAGGAGGAGGACTTTCCCTTATACACCTCTGCTTTTACGTCATCATGAATAATCCTGAGTCATTTCACGATAGTGGGTATTACTTTTTTTCGGTTTTAGCAATCTCTTCTTACTATTTGTTGAAATACTTGTTATTCTCCGTTGTTTTGTTGGATCGAATTGTTTGACCTCTTTTGGCATATGGGCTCCTATGCGGATACCTCGATATTGCCTGAGTGTTAATTATGATAAATTGGTTGGTTGTGGCTAGCAGAAGAATCTAGGACGCGCGTTTCTTCCTATTTGAGACTCGTCAGCTGGATGTACCTGCCTCCCAGTGAGTGATGCACCCCAGTGGGAACAACATCACTGGGGTGCAGGTACATCCAGCTGACGAGTCCCAAATAGGAAGAAACGCGCGTCCTAGATTCTTCTGCTAGCCACAACCAACCAATTTAGAAACCTCTGTTTCAATTTTTAGTGCAAAAAGTGTAAGACACTTGGAAATTAATTTTTGATTATTAAGTTCTACAAGTCCAGTAAATCATCATCTGCCTGATATGATGAAAAGCCCTACTGTTTGTCGTAATCACAGTTTTGCTTCGATCATACAGTATTCCATTCAACTATACTCATGCGATATGTGCAATAACACAATGAGTACATATTTATGCCTCAGTTGAAGTTCTTATTAGTTAACCATGGTAAATGACTTATTGTGGAGCTATGACTTGACTACTAACTAATGGGTTATGCGTTTGAGCCCCGCTCCCCGTTTGAGGAGCCAGGTAGTAGTAGCATTAACTCTCGCACAATGCTTATAGTCCATTGCCTACTGTACCAATGTTCACAAGGTTGATGAGTGGATAGTATTAAGAATGCCTAAGTGCTCTTTATTCACTCTTCGATTGATCTAATGTTTAAAGAAAGTAGTATACTAAGTGGTGTTTGTCTACGTAGACTTATTAGCCATTAGTTATTTGCTTTTATGTAATTTTGACCAGTTGAATGAGATAGCCGTGGTTTGGCAGACTAGTGTTGATACTGGGTGATGATTGAAGGTGAAATAAAGATTTAGACCACGGAGGAAATTCGAACCAGCGACCACCACTGACCTACGAGGTCCGACTGCTGACTAGATTTTATATTTCACTTCATCAATCATGAAAGGTTTGACCCGACTAACATGTGAATTCATGACGCCTTGATGTCACTTGATCGTACTCACACACTGGCTGCCCACCAGCCAAGACTTCTCATCCCAATCCAAATCTAGCTGAATTAGAGAGAGGGAGCATCATATTGATTATCTGAGATAACCTTAGTTTGGCAGACTAGTATTTAGTTCCCAATGTAATTTATCGGGTGTCAACGAATCTGTCAGGAATCCTACATACACCTTAGGTTTATTTCTGTGTACTTATTTTGCTATACTAAAAGCAACTACTTTGTACTAATTGATCAAATTTTTTAATAAAAAAACTAGATATGGAACCATCCTGATATACTACGTCGTGCAATGGAAGAGCATAAAGAAGCCATGGATTTCGACATTGATGACTCAGCGGCGAATAATTCCAACACCACGATGTCCTCTGCAGGTCGACCTTACCAACGGTCGAACAGTACCCATTCAGCCAATCAGAATGAGCCACAATCATGGGTTGGTGGTGATTCCATTACCATTTCACCAGATATAACATCTGCTCAGATATCTACACCAGCAAACAGTTCCACATACTCTACGTCTGATTCGTCTTTGCCACTTCCGTATATGCCTCAGGTTGGTTTCTTGTCTGATTTTGTTTTTAAACCGTATGGTAACTGAATCAAATTCAATGTGACACATAATTCAACTTGTTAACTGCTTTATACACTAGGAATGGTAGACCAGTGAGCGATGAAAATATGTAAAGGTGAAGGAATCCTGGTAGGCACTTATTCCACCAGGGGCACCATAAGTATGGTGTAATAGCCAATAAACAATGACTGCATTTTGATTATCCAGTTACCAGAGTAGGTGTAGTGTAGTGTCTTTTCACCGTTACAATATCAACGACATATCTCATGTTATAATTTAAACCTTAGACAGCATTTCAGTTCGATGCATACTTTATCCTTCAGTTAACATTTTTCCTGTGCAAATTTTCTAACCACTTCATTCATTGTGATGATGAATAGTGGCTAGCAATGAAATCCAGGATGCGCATTTTGTCCTATTTGCTACTCGTCAGCTGGATGTACCTGTCTCTTGGGTAGTGATGTCCCCACTGAGATTCGGACTCGTGAGCGATCGCTTCAAAAGCCAGATCGTTATCCACTACACCACGGAACCACGATAGCCACTTCTTGTGTGACGTGTATAGTCTGAGTGTTATTGCTTGTATTATTCCGTCGTTGATTGAACCGAATTGATCGGTCTCTATTGGGATATGGGCTCCCGTGCAGATGCCTCGATATTACCTGTGTTCTAATTAAAGTAAAGATGGATAGTCGCTATCCATACTACTTTATTCGTTGTTTCACTCACTGGTGGCGAATAACGACTTAATACAGAATATTCATTGCTTGTTTTACTGTATTTCAAACCTTTTAGATAAGTGATTTACAAAATAAGGAAAAATCAAAGTATTTAATTCTGAAATGTACTCAGTAACCTTGTGCACAGTCGTGCAGTGAGCAATGACTTACACATAATGTGATACTCCCTAGCTGCTTAAACCTTGGTAGGTGGAGCGGGATTCCAACTCACCACCCATTGGCTACAAGTCATCCTCGTAAAATAATGAACTACACCTCTATAAAGCCAAATTGTACAAGTTGATATCTCATATTAGAGTATGTATTGCTCTAAGTAAGACAAAATATTCACCTGAGGTTTTCTTTCAACAAGTCTAATTACATGCATATGTGTAAAAGTTGGGCACTGTCGTGTAGAATGTAATTGCGTATTAGATAGATTTGTTTTGTCTTATATGGATAGCGCATAGTGTGATACATTATCATTTACTGGATGGATAACGACGTTTCAAGCATAAATTACTATTGCACATAATCATATCAGTGTGATGATACAGCACTTTGGACATCTGATTTCTACAGTCGTATCACCTCATATTCTTTGTTTTTCTTGGTAGTAAAGATTTCCATATCTGTGGTATAAGTAGGTAGGTGGGTGTTACATCATTCCTATTAGGTGTGTGTTGGATGAACGAAGATTCAGTAATCAATCTCTCTCTGTCTCCATCTAATTATGTTTGTTTAATTGGTTGTGTCGAATCCTTAAGGCATCCGATAAAGCTAATATCAGAGTGAGTTTGTTGGTTCCAGAGTGCCACCCTCATTCCAGCTTTGTTGACGATGCTACGTGAATTTACTGATGTTCCTTCCTTATAGGGTGACATGATGGAGGATGTAAACTCGTTTCCACTCATGTTGGTGTTATTATTTCCTTCCTTGTGTATTTGTACGAATTTCTTAACAAACTGTAGAGTGTAATTGTTAACTATTAATGGTTGTGTCGTGTGCTTCAGTTCCTTGTTTAGGTTGTTGCACTGACTAGTGAGTTTTCTAGTTGTATCATTTAGACATTTGATTATAAGAAAGGTACATCAGAAACTATACTTTAGGATCGTCAACAAAGCTGGAATTAGAGTGGCATTGGAGCGTATACACTCACTCAGAGATAAACTTTGTCGGTTGGTTTAAGGATTCGATAGAACCAATTGAGCAAAATAATCTAATCTATCAAATTCCATGTAATCATTGTGAGTGGGGTCAAGTACATAGATCAAACTAGCCGGTTAGGCTCAGTTAGAATAGCCGAATATAGGAATTTAGCTAAATATAGAATGATGGACTTGAGTAATATTAGTAATTTGGAAAAAAACTCGACTATTGCAATGTTTGGATTAACACAACAAAATGGGTGGGATGAAACCACTATACTTCAGTCCAATATAATTAAGTAGAGAGATAAAGAGAAACTAGTTACTGAATCCTTATACTGCGTGATGACTGAACGTAAAACGAAAATCTGAGTCACGGCTAGATTCAAACCCACAACCGTCCGGATGCTCTGACCCCTGAAGTCCGACTACTTGTCAGATTTTTATTTTACTGCACTCACCAACCCTTCTGCGGTCCAAATTTTCATTCTACCTTCAATCATCACCTATTATAAATACTAGTCTAACAAACCACGGTTATCCCAGATACTTGTACTTTGTTCTTCGAATCAACACCCAACGAACGTATGTAATAAGAATGATGTAACACCCACATATACCAGAGATATGGAAATGTTTACTACCAATAAAAGGAAAGAATATGAAGTGATAGGACTATAGAAATGAGATATCGATGATATGATTATGAGCAATGATAAGTGATGGTGGGAACGTCGTCATGGAGTGATTTATGGCGTATCACTCATTGTGTGCTGGCTATATCAAAGAAACAAATATAGTTGCATTCTTAAACAGTCTTCAATGGTGTAATTTTGTTGATTTTAATAAAATTCATCATTACATTTTAAAATTTACGCTCATATGATACAGTCAGTGTCTTATCTAAATTTACCACCTGTTTTCTCTATGAAATTTATTTTTAGAATCCTTCTTTCCCTGTTTCTACAACCAGCGGAACACCTAACACTGGACAGTTGAATATGAATAATTCAGGCTATTTTTACAATCAAACCTATTCACATCAATCTAGTGTTGGCACATATGATTGGGCTAGTGATCAAGAATTATGGGGGGAGAACTTTCAATCGGGTAATGTTGAACATAGTGGAAAAGTTTTACTCTTCTTGGATATCCTTAAAGGAAGCGTTCTAGCTGGTGACAAGTTATTAGTTTTCACTCAAAGTTTATACACTTTAGATTTATTAGAGCGTATATTACGTCATTTACCCTTACCAGTTGTTGATAAATCTGATGTAACTAAAATGGAATGTCCAACGAAACAGTTAGAAGATATTGGTAAATCTGAGCTACCAAATGATTCCTGTAATCATGGAAATTCATATGATGATAATCATCATCATAATTCATCAGATAAATTTAATAAATTGATGTATAATTTCGATGTGGATCAATTAAAACCAAATAAAATCGATGAGACAGACGATAATGATGATGAGTCTAAAGAACACGAAGAACAAGAAGAAGAAACTCTACGATCTTTACATTATAGGTTATCAACACGACGAGGTCATTGTGATGAACCGACTGTTTGGACACGAAATGTTCATTATTTCCGTGAGTTATCCTTCTCGAGTTTCTTTACATGATCTATTATATTATGCTGTGCTTTATAATGCCCAAAAAATTTAAAGACTATACAGTCTTTTTTATGAAAATCGTTAACAATGACCAATAGTTACAAAGAACCTGGAGAGTTCAGGTTGGTATTCATCATGGACTGATATTAGTTGAAGAAACATTGAAAACCTGACAGAAGTAGAAAATATGGACCGTTAGATTCTGACACAGTGGTTGACCGTGGGACCTGAAGGTCTTGGGTTCGATCCCTGGTGGAGTCATGGGTATGCACTGCTGAGGAGTCACATACCGGGACGAGACATCTGTTCACTACTCCGAGGTTTCCAATGTTTCTACAGTTGATGTCAGTCCGTGATGAGTACCAGCCTGAAATCAGTAAATCCACACATCTCCGAATTGAATAAATCCAGTGCTTATTGGTGACTAGCTTCAAGAGGTGATTCCTGGAGTTCCAATGATAAGTCGTAACCGGTGGGGCCAACCGAGCCGCATATAAGGAGTTACTCAATGTCGGCATTGTATGATGGTCACGTTATGTCGTGAACTGATAGAAGTTGGAAATATGAACCTCTGGATTCTTGCCCAGTGACTCCATGGTAAGGTCTTGGGTTGGGATGGGGTCGTTGATGCGCACTGCCTAAAGTCTCATACTAGGACGAAACAGCTGTTCAGTACTCTCTGGTTTTCAATGGTTCTCCAACTGAATTCAGTCCGTGATGGATACTACCTCAGAATTATTTTTTTATTCCTCAACTCTGTAATTCTTCCCATAAATGACGAGTGTGTGACCAAAATGTACGAATTACATAACACGATTCAGACAAATTACGTCGTCTTATTGCTTTATGAAAAGTGATATTTTTAAAAGCGTTTTTGCATAGTATTATAAACATATTGATTAACGTTTAACAACACCTATATTAACGTCATCAAAATTAATGAGGTATGTTTTCAAAGGTGAAACATTGCATTCCATCCAACAGACATAATTATATAATTCTATCTTTCCGCTTTAAAGATAAACGCAATGTGAACAGTTTACTTTTAGCCGATTTCTTAGGTTATTCCTTCTTAACGTTAATGTAGGAGTAAAACGTGTACACTATGGTAGAATGTAATTACATTTTTATTGATTTATTACATGGATCACATAGTATAACAGTATTGTTTACTGGATTACGTTACGGAGGCATAATTTGTTGTCCATAGTCATATCAAGAAGACTACACAACTTTGAAATATCCTTTATATAATCCAAGTTCATATTCCCTCGCCCCCTTTGTGCTATGCGTAGTAAGATTTTCCAAATATCCGAAGCAAGTGCATGCATAGTGTTGATTCGATAAACAAGGGTTCAATTATGAATCTCTCCCTCCACCTTGGTATGTTATTTTTAAGGATTTTCACCCTGTCCCATCCTATTATGTAGTTGTGTGTAATTGCATGCATAGCTACAGCTGAGCTCTTTTTTCTAGATTTCTAATGTGGCTGCGATCTACCAATCACGACGACATAATTGATCCTGACCGACTACTTCAACTTGTGTGTTTTACTTCGCAATCGTTACAACGTTAACAATCTTTACCTTTGAGAATGAAATGTGCAAACAAATAGAAAAAGTTGCCATGATAGCACCAATATCCCCTATCGTGGCAGACATATTTATGAATAGTTGGGAACGGATGGATGTTAAAACATTCAGTCCCGCTCCAAAAGTATGGACAGCTCAATTGACCGTGATGAATTACTTTGACCTATGTATTTGACCTCGGAATTGTTGCAAGGGATTCAGTAAACTAAGTTATTCTGCTTAGTCGGATCAATAGGATCTCTGAATCTGCACAGTTTATTGTGAGTTTGTAGTTTTCACTGCCACTCTAATCCTAGTCAGCCTCATTGAGAATCCTGCGTAGCGTTTCTCAGGTGCTTTCTTTGTATGGTAATACTATAGAGGTTTTGAATTCTTTCTTCACAGTATTGCCACTAATATTATTCACATTAGTGTTACGACTGTTAACATCTATATCATTAATATTAGTAATATATAGAGGATGCTATCACACAATACAAAGAAGGCGAAAAAATTGGAGCTGTACAAACCATACCTCAAGGTGTTGTGGTGTTAGTTACCTGATATGATGAATATGGACAATAAATTTTGTCCGAAACCGTAATCCAGTTAAGTAATATCGTTCCATTGTGAAATAAATCAATTAAAAACGGAATTACATTTTACTACGGTGCTCAAGTTTTACCTTTAATTTATGATTGATAAAACTCACGAAGTAAATCCTTATCTCCAAAATAATAACTGGCGAATTTTAGAATACACAACCGTTGATTGATGGTTTTGAATGAAAGAAAATTGGTTCTAACCGATTGGCATATGTTATACTTTTCACTTTCGATCCATATGAATGGACACGGAACTCTTCAAATCTTTCAAATGAGTTATCTAGGCCAAGAATTATATATCTCATATCATAGGTGTATATGGAGAATATATATAATATACGCCATATGGTTTGTTTTCCAGATCATAAGAAAATATACTAAGGGTTTCCAACCGTTTTCTCAATATTCAAGCAAAGAATATTATTCTAATTAAAACTTCAAATTCTTGTGAATCATCTTTTCAAGGTATTAATGATGTTGATTGTACAAGAAGTAGCTGTCGTGGCTCAGTGGCCAAGTGAATAATGCTCTAGCGTTTGAAGCGATTGTTCCCGGGTTCGATTCCCGGTGGGGACAGCATCACTCACTAGGAAGCAGGTATATCCATCTGACAAGTCTCAGATAGGAAGAAATGTGCGTCAAGTTATCCATCATTTATATTTTTTAGGGTTTTATTAAGCTGAGTTCTTTCTTAAAAAGTAGATTAGTACATCAGATATGTTTTCAACTTATTTCATAGAAGGATATTATATGCTTAACTATCCATCTGAGAAGTTTATTCCCAGCGAGTTAATGTTTGATTGTGCTATAAAATCATTATATTTCCATGTTCGCATTAATTAATTTCTATATGTAGCTGGGAATAAATCGTCCTCATCAACAAGGTGAATGTTCTTAATCCCTCTACCCATTGTTTTGATCATCAGTTACCCTTCATAGCCTAGTTATTCGAGTAAGTCATAGTTTCTTGGAAAACAGACTAAAGTCCATTGTTTTTCAACTTTTGATAAAACTGGCCATAAGCTATCCAACTTATATATTATTTTCATGGTATACTAATGATGTTAATCAATAAACTTGTCACTTTATTTTCTTTTAAGGCTTAGATGGTAGTACAAATGCAAGTGAACGTGAAAAATTGATTAATAATTTTAATGATTCTAATAATCCAGCAAAACTGTTTCTCATGTCAACTAGGTGAGTATAGATTTTTCTATAAGTTTTACCATGTATACACTGTTTTGAACAAAATGGTTATATTTACTGAGCATAGCTTTTACACATTACTAGCGGAAAGACTAATATATATATTGAATTTTATACATGATTGTTTATTATTACTTTCATTCTGAAATATGTACTACTCCAGATGGTATGCATAATAAATGTGAACTGATAGGGACCGCTTTTACGTGCATAAATTAAAAAATAATATATTAACTGAATTCAGTACGTTCAACATTCCTCAGTGTATTGATGTACGCGAAGAGCAATCATCTTCATCGAAATCAACATAGGACCAGACATTACTGCGTAACGGTCCGAGTTGCCACATCTCATATCAGTACATCAAGTAGAAAGGTAGTAAGGTGAAAGATGAAGATAAGAAAATTCAGTCAGAAGAAATATAAAGTGCGAGAAGAAAGAAAGGGAGAATGACAAAGTAGTGAGATTCGGTATAGCGTTGTTAAGATGAAGATAATGTGTGTATACATCTGCGCCACTGACATTGGTTCTGAGCCATGCCATCATCCAGAGTCTGCAGCCACTGGTTCCTCTTGTCCCGTGGACCCCAACCAGCTAGTCTGCATCGCCCCACATGGCTCAAACCAACAGTCAGAGACTTCATACATTGGTGTGAAGAGGAAGGAAGGATACATCTTCACTGGATAATCTGTACTGTTTTCAGATAAGAGTGTGCTTGAATGTGCTTGCTTACAAAACAGTCATAAAAATGTAGGACAAAACGCATAATAATGTATGGAAAAAGTTAGAGAAATGATAGGTAATACAGAAAAAACTTCAGCAATTACCAGTTGCAAGCGCATTAAAGAAGCAGTTACATATTTTCGACCACAGATGTCTTCGTAGCACTGCTTACGTTTAGTGGAATCGTCGTGTAAGCAATGTTGAGGTCAGCTAAAGATTACTTGGTAAGACAGGCAAATCGTCGGCCACCTCGACGTGACATACCAAAAGAGGTCAGATTAGGCTGGCCAGACCAAGATATGGCGCCAGTCGATAGAATCTCTGATGCCTGTTGGTCTGAGTGATATGGACAGATATAAACTGTCTGTCTAGGGTCGCCGAGACAAAAGGAATCAATGGTGTAGATGTATACATTCTCTGGTGTCCTCTTCAGCGTCAACATTCTCAACAACCTTGAATTTCAAATTCCTTTTCCCACCATACACCCCTATTTACCCTGATATCATCAGCCTATTTCTTCTATTCACTGGTTCTTTGCAATGCTGTTCTGATATGTACGACGTGAACCGACACACTTAAGTGTAAGGCTCTATGTTAATTTCGTCTCTTTCTTGTCTGTCTGCCTGTATGCAAAACATATGAAGTTAATGGTAGAATTTCGATTGTAAAAATAATCACTATGAGCCTGAATGAGAGTATACTTGGTGAAATTATCTGAATGGACATATTGTTAAAGTCTGCTAGAAATTCACAGCAAAAATACTGTTGCGAAATGTTCTACTTTTTCATCTTTCTGCTAGACAATGTTTTTAAATAAACTTACAAATTTAGATGATCAGTGAACTCGACCGTAAAACAGTCACGATTAGTTGCACTGACTCCTACGTATGTTATGTATAAATGTAGATATTTTCTAAGCTAGATTTTTCACCATGTTTTTACTATATGTTCCAGGTAATGTTTATCTCTAATGTGCTGGTGACAAGTGCTTTAAACACTTCACTTACCTGGGAAGTGATATCCGACTATCTATTAAGGGTCGAATGTATTGTGCTGCAGTCCCTTCTGTTCTGCTATGTGACTGTGAAACGTGGTCATTAAAGGTAGAAGACATGCGAATACTTCATGTTTTGTGATCACTGTTGCCTTCGTAGCATGGGCTATGTTTCGTGTTGTCACCACATGAGTAACGCAGAAGTCAGGTGTAGAGTTTTAGGGAGGAGAGGTAAGTCAGTTGATACGATTGTGAACCTTCGTCGACTCAGATGACTGCCTGCGATGTGTGTTTCGTCTGCTTAACCACTGTCTGCCTCGTCACACAATGTTAGTCGAAGTAGGTTCAGGTTGGAAAAAGGTATAGAGGATGGCCAGACTGGAACATGGCATCAACGTATGAAGTCGTTGACTGTTGGTCTGATCGATGTAGGGCGACACAGACTAACCGGTTGGGTTCCACAGGAAAAGAGAAACCAGTGGTTGGAGATCGATGATGATGACATGGCTGAGAACCGATGTCAGTTTCTCAGGTATGTACACACATTATCCTCATCTTAACTGTAATACTTAATCTCATCATCTCATTCTTCCTTTTTCTCTTTCACTACTTTCTACTTCTACTCCTCTTAACCGATTTTTGTCTCCCTCTTCATGTTGCACCTTACTGCCTTTTTACTTGATATGCTGATATGAGGTGTGTCACAACTTAGACCGTAAAGCAGTAATGCCTGCTCCTATGTTGATCTTCATAATGATGATGTGTAGGTCCTAAAAGACTTCAGTCATTCAGAAAACCTATATCAAAATGTGAAAAAAAAGCCAGTATTGTTCTCATCGTTTCGAGATATTGCTTTAGTGGTTGGAGTAGTCAATCTTTCGTGGTGGTGAACAACTGATTTACTATTTCAATTCATCCATTATCATACAGAAGAGTATTCGAACAGATTTCACTAGTGAGAAGGTATGAAAATTAGTTCTACTCTACAAATCAAGAAATTCAGCCAAGTAGTTGGAGTTTATGATTTATCTTGTTAAAGCAACCTCGACACCTCCAATATTGATCAAAACATGGCAATGAGAAAACATGAATTTACAGTATAAGATGAAGAATTCGAAGCTATTAACCGACTTTCCTGCGAATATTCAAGCGCTCTGCGCTATGAACGTTTTGACCGATTACTCAATTCACTTCTATAATATTATTTTCGTTGTTTTTACCTATGGACTGTTTTGTTTTATCATTACCATTTTCGCTTTTGTCTTCATCTTCACTTCGCTCAGCTGCTCTTCATTGCTTAGACTTCTGATCTTTTTGTACCATTTTGAGTCGCTAAACAGTTGTCTCCATAAAACTGGACCACAGTCTGACATTTGACATAACTATCCTGAAACCACGCACACCGTTTAACCTCTCCATCTTCAACGCTCGCACTTTTATGTAGACCGGACAACAGGCAGGTTTGGCTAGGGCTCTGAAAATCCTCGCTATCGATGTATGCTGGATCTCAGAGACCCGCATACGAGATCCCAGTTAAGTGTTTCGAATTAGCTCCCTATCTGTCAGCTCAAGAAGTATGTTTCATATACGCTTACCCGGGGACCTTACGGCATTGGTAACCGGTATCGCAGCAAGCACTTGAGCTGAAGCTGCACTACTCGACTGGATCCCCATCAGCAACCGTCTATGTGCTGTTAGGTTAGAGGGTTCTTCTCGAGTAAGAAGTAACCGGCAAGCGAAACGATGCCTCTATGTCACCTCTTCCTGTGCTCCGACGGATTGAAGCCCGAACGCAACCCAGAATGAATTCTACTATCAACTGAGTGACATCAAACGAATTCGCTCGACAGATCGTTGTGCTAGCTAGGGACTTGAATGCGCAGTTTAGAGAAGAGTCGTTTAGTTGGGCGATGGGGATTGGCTTGCCACAGGTCGAATAATGGGAGTCCTCCTCTGTAGCTTTGCTCAATGCAAAACCTATTTAAGTTCGAGTTCGTGCCAAGTGTTTTTTTATACTTCCTAATGTAGAAGGCTTTTGTAAATGCTATATATATATATTCACTTATCAATTTTCAGAGCCGGTTGTCTTGGTGTCAATTTGATTGGTGCAAATCGTGTTGTTGTTTTTGATGCTTCATGGAATCCATGTCACGATTGTCAAGCAGTTTGTCGCGTTTATCGTTATGGTCAAGTGAAACCGTGTTATATTTATCGTCTTGTCTCGGATAATACAATGGAGAAGAAAATTTACGATCGTCAAGTAAGTGACATCATTTGTTTCATTTTCTTTTATCTTACTTTCGAACTTGATATCATAACATGCTGCCAAATGCAATTTAGACCAAAGGTAAACTATCCAAACGGGCTTGATACTTCGTGTATAGAAACGTTGATTAATTCTTAAGTCAAATATGACTAGTGCTAATTGACTTACGCTATCGAACTTCAGGCAGGTCATGGGTTCAAACTCCTTTCCATCTACCGAGACAGGCGATTCCGAGATAGATACACAAAGTCAATGTAGAACCTCTCACACAAGAGCATCGGTTTCAGTTGTCACACTGTACAGGAGTATGCAAAGAACAAGTGGATAGAAAAAGAATGATATCTAAGTAGACTGAGGTATATGGGAAGAAAAGGAATTTGAAGGTCAAGGTTGTTGAGAATGTTGACACTTAAGAGGACATCAGAGACTAAATACATCTGCTCCATTGTGACTGATTTCCGGCCATTTCGCCAAGAGTCCTCATCCACGGATCCTTATCTTCTCGGAGGCCCCAGCCAGTTAGTCTTCTCTCTACATGGTCCAGATCAGAAGTCAGAGACTTCACAGACTGATGCCTGGTTTTGATCTGGTCACCCTCAACCCTTTTCCAACCTAATCCAACTTCTTCCAGCGTTGTATGTCGAGGTAGAGAGGTGATGGTTCACAACCTCAATGATTGGTGACTTCCTGGTCTAGTACCTTTCACCTGACATATGCACTGCTCGTCTGGTGATTCCATCATACACAAGCAATGCTACGAAGACACCTGTGGTCACAGATCTGTAAGTGCATGTTATCTTCTGCTTTTAACGGCCATATCTCACAGTTGTGTAACCAGACAGAACGAACTGCAGTGCATTATACTCGTCCTTTTGTATGTAGTTGGATATCTTGCGAGCCGGCGCTGGAGGTTAACACCAAACGAACCCTTCGTCTCAAAGCTAGGATTTCGTCAGCAACCAACCCGTTCGGGCTGATACAACTTCTCGTGTTAGTGGAGTACCCGACGCCTTCCACTATTCCATACCCTATTCTTAGACTGGGAGAAGTTGGAAACTAATCCGGGAGCATTTGGTATATGTGAAAGGCATTACATAAAGACAAGGCGTTCAGAAGACTATGCATTTTGTCAGCGTCTTCATCTAGCAGGACAATATCGCCTACATACTTCAAGTCAACTGGACGCCTTCCTGAACCAATTCTTGTGAAATCAGACTTACCTAAGTTGATGTCCATCAGTACTTCTCTATCGAAGTTAAACAGGAGTTTTGACAATAAGCATCCATGGTGGACATCACTAGGTGTCATCAGTTCAGATTGCAACTCTTGATTGGCCAAGTATTATCATCAGCTCTCATACCAATGGATTTAGCCGATCGTCTGGTGCAGGGAACTTGTACTTTGCGGTTAATATACTTTTTTACTTACAATTTGCTGATATGCATTTAGTTTGAGTGTTGTTATCATTAAATAAAAATTAATCTGTAGTTGGTCTCTGTTTTTTGTGATGATAGTGTCATGGTAGGTGAAAACTGACTAAACACAGGGCCTTCTGAATGCGTTGTTCAGAAATTGGTGTATGTTTGACATGCGTCTCGCACCTGTCAAATATCAGATGATCCTCCAGGACTGGTCTGCTGCAAGTATTCCCAGCTTAATGATGGGGAGTGAAGTCGTGGAATGTATCGGCCACTTCATTTACATGAGGAGCTGTATCAGCCCGAACAGGCTGATTGCTGACGAAACCTCGGCTTGGATATAGGAGGCCCGTTTGGCATTTGCCAACCTACGTCACTTGTGGTGCTAACTAGCGAGATATCCGACTGTCTGCCAAAGGAAGATTATACTGCACTGCAGTCCGTTCGGTCCTGTTGTACGGCTGTGAGACATGACCGTTAAAAGTAGACGAAATGAAGCAGTTGCAGGGTTATAATCACAGATGCCTTCGTAACATTGCTCGCGTCGGGTGGAACCACCCTATGAACAATGTTAAGGTCAGGCGAAGAGTAATAGACGAGACAAGCAATTCTGAAATTTGAAACAATTAGTCCCTTTAATAAATTTCGATAACGCTATTAGAAGACGAAGATTATCTGAAAAATGTGATGTATTTGCGCAATACATTTCGAACAATCTGATCACACATTCACTTGTCAAGTCAATTTATATATGAAAATTAAAGGTCAAATATAGTGAATATGAAAAGGTTGTGACACTAGTCTTGGTAATATAATCATAGCCATTCGTAAACTTAATCCCCCGCTGTGTGTACAAAAACAATTTGTTGTTTCACTTAATTTACCTTGGTAATCCTTATCTGATTATAGACTAGTGTCCACAACCTTTTCATATTCACAAGCAATTCTATTGACGAGGTTGCGGACCTTCACCAATTGAAATTGCTTCGACATGTACTGCGCATGGGGAGTCACTACTTTCATCTGTGTACCATGCTAGGTGAAGTTGGATCAGGTTGGAAGAAGATTCACGATGACCAAACCAATACCTGGCACCAGTCGATGAAGTCCCTTACTGTTGGTGTGAGGAGATGTAGACTACTTGGTTGGGGTTCTCGAGACGAAAAGAATCAGTAGTTGAGGACTGCTGGTGACAGCTGAAAATCGATTACAATGACGCAGGTGTATTTACTCCTTGACATCTAAATATATTCACACTAACCTTTATATTCAGATTATTTATTCTAGCACACAATCTTGTCTACTGTGATTCACTCCTTTTCTATATCCACCTGTTCGTTGTATATTACTGTAAAGTGTGACAACACTAGCCGGCAAGGTTCTACATTAATTTTGTCAGTCAATCAGTTTTTTGTGATACACGACTAAGTATTCTGTGTCCTAACTTCATAGTCGTTATCAAACATTGTGCCTGCTCAACTTTTTTTATTGCTTCGATTATCAAATAGATTGGTAAATTATTTTTTAAAATTACATTAGAAATAGTTTTTGTTACATTTTGTCCAGTCCCTAATCTTTCTGTATAACATGATTGTTATTGAGTCCAGTGCTAAAATGTATCTAATATACGGAGTGACTAAGTCAAGTGTCCATCTGATCTGTTAGTAGTTTGTGATACACAAAGAAGTAGTATAAGATTTTAATCTACTTGTTTGTACGTGGCTTGGTTAGTAGGTTGGGGTTGGAGCAAACTGATCAACCTGTTGTAGTATCGCCTAGCCAATCGAAGGATCTGAATATTTGGAAAAAATTCTTCTGAGAAGACAGATTTTGATGATAATAATAATAATTATTAAAGCCCTAGCCCTAACAAATATTCCACCCGAGTATAAAGTAACTAATTTTAGCAAATTGTTAATGAAGTATCTTTTCAGTGTAAAGTCGTGTTATTTGTACGCAAACAGAAAAGCCGAATGTAGAACCTAGTATGCTAATAGAGAAAAAAGTCATACTACAGTAGAAAAATGTGCATGAGCAAAGAGAGAATGAATAGATGAAAGTGAATGAAAGTATTCACTGTTTTGAAAGTGACAAATGGTGGTGTGTACTATCTGCACAGTTGTGATCAATTTCGAGATCTGTCAAACAAGAGGCTTCGATTAGTTATTCATGTTGTATTGAGAATCTCTTTCAGTTGGTGGACACTTTTTTAAACGACTCATACCAACAGACTTTATTCTAAACCATTCCTACTTTGATTAACTGCTCTGACCCGTAGCATGACCTAACAACCTACAAGCCTATGAGATTACGAACGTAACGCGCAAACGAATCGACTCTAACGCAAAATCAGAATGTCAGCCACCATCACAACAATATCACCGACACGTCAAGACAAGAAGAAACGACAGACCGTTGACAGAGAGCTTTTGACTGTCTCAACAATTGTCAATACAGTTGACAGTGATGCTGAATATATATATATATATATATATATATATATATATATATATATATATATATATATATATATATATATATATATATATATATATATATATACATTAAATCCATATAAAATTAACAAGCAATAAGAATCCGGCCTTGAGAAGAGAGGGTAGTAAAACTAATAACAGTGTGTAAAACAGCCTAGTTGGTTATTTTTGACGTCATGGGCAATGCAACAGGCATAAACTATGCAAAACTAGGGGTATATCGCACTAACATTTCACATCGAGGTGCGTGACAAATTGGCATATGTAACATATATCCAAGCCACTCTAGTCAATTAAGGTGCATAACCTTATCATGTGACTTGTGTACGAAGTTCTTTACCTTCATTCTTATTATGAAAAGCCTGTTTACGAAAGCCTAGTAACCGAAACAGCTAAATATACAAACAGGAGCACCTGACAAAGTTAAATATCAGATGATTGTAATAAGCAAAGATTTTGTACATATGTAGATAAATCAAGAAGCACTTAATTTTGAAAAATTGCCAATTTATGCCTCTCTATATGACTTACAAACTGGTGTGTATATATGAGTGTAAACCACGTTTAAGCTTCTGTTGTTCTACTCTCACTATGACATTAAGTGGAACTACAAACCTAGTACAGCGAGGGCACCAGGAAATACGCCACACCAAATAGTATAATAACATTATGAAGACATAAAGTGAAGGGAAGTGGATAAAAATAAAACACAATAAAAACAGAATGATAAGAAGGGCTGTGCAGTAGTGTTCATTTAAAATAAAACATTCACTTTCAGTAGCAGAAGATAGAAGGAAGCTACAGCATGACCACTACTGGTTTGGATTCTCAGCATGATCTCTTGGAACCCCACCCAGAGAGTCGTGATGAACCAACACTTGCTAACCCTATACAACTATCCTTCATCCCACTGCGCCACACCGTACACCGACGCCACCCTTCCTTTAAGACGATATGCGTAACACATGCCCAAGCCACCGAAGCTGTTTGCAGATGACTACACTTGTTGAGTGATGAACTCCATCATGCCCGGACACATGCTGTCGTACCCTAGAATTACTTACGTGGTGTTACCACTGGATACGAGCAATCCTACAGTAACAACGATGATCGTACACAAAAAGTTATGGCATATCTTCAATATGGAGAGGCCAGGTTTCACAGGCGTAGTGCAGAATTGCTCTCACTGAAGCGTTGTAAACCCGACCTTTTACGGTTAGACTAACGTTGCGACGACGCCATGGGTGACCCAGGTTGACTTATTCCACTCTGGCTCACACAAGTACCCAGATACGCAAACTTTTCGACCACTTCCAACGGCTCATTACCGAGGGTGAGCCCAACCAGACACAGGCTCCTTCCAATCTCCCTAGTGTCCCTTGCATTTTCATGGTGCAAAGCACATACCATACTTACGGACACTGATCGCGAACCAATTAGGTGCGACTTGAGCAGCGTATGTGTTATCGCAGAATAGAACGATATCATCCGTATATTCAAGGTCGAATAGCCATTTTCCAGGTAGTAGATCTACACCACCATGACGCACTTCCTTCAGAGGTGTCTCAAGAATGTCATAGATGATAAAGTTAAAGCGGAATGGAGAAATCAAATAACCCTGCCTAACCTTATTGCTGGTTTCAAACAATGGAGACAGGTGGTTGTATACTCCCTCACTCTACTTGAAATGTTATTACATAGGGATTTCAAGATGTTGAGAGATTTTTCAGACACGCCTCTCTCTAACAAATAGTTCCAGAGTACAGTTCTGTCCAACGAATCGAAGACAGTTATAATGTCAAAAAATACAACAACTGCTGACCCGCAATACGTCTGGTAAACTAATGATCAATGCATCCATGGCATTAAATGTGGATAGGTCAGATATGCAGATTCATAGTCTAGTCAACTTATGTGTGTGTGTTCTTGACTCAGCACTAGCATTGCTGATTCAACTATCCCTGAAAAAGCCTACAATTTAACAAAAATGTAGAAAATAATTAATTCTATTGTTGTTATCCATCGTAGACTGACATCAGTTGGAGGAACAAAGGAAACCTGGGAGCACTGGACAGCTGTTTCGTCCTAGTATGGGACTCCTCAGCAGTGCGCACCCACGACCCCACCAGCAGGGATCGAACCCGCGACCCTCAGGTTCCGTGGCTAGCGCGTTACCACTGAGCCACTGGGTCGGAATCCAATGCTCAGTCTACGATGAATAAAAACTTGAAATAATTCCAAATCTCCACAACTCCCTCAAAATTTAATTCTATTGTATAATTGAAATACCTAATTATTTTTCTGTAGGTAACAAAACAAGGCGTGTCAGATCGTGTTGTGGATGAATTGAATCCAACGCAACAATTTACTCGATCACAAGTTGAATTACTTATGTCTTTTGAAGATAAAGATATGGAGACGATTACAAATGAAGATTTAAAAACATGTGAAGATATCATCCAACCAGATCCAATTCTCTCTGATATCCTAAAGAAACATACAAAATGGATTACAAAGGTAATTTTTTCTTCCAACATTTGTTATTGCTTAATGTCAGCTGGGGGAATTTATGAGTACATGATAATTGTTTTATCTCAGTTTGAGAAATTCCAGCAGTTGACAAATAGAAAGATGTGAATCGTTGGATTGTAACTCAGTGAATAAATGTGCTCGCCCTTTTTAGGGTCGTAGTTTGGCACTGTTCGGAATATATCGAACTAGTATCAAATGATTATCATATAGTCCAACATTTTTCAATCATTCTCCATCTTTGATGATTTTTGCAATTCTTTAGTCAATTATTGAGATCATACTTTTTTCTATCTTTCTTTGTAATTGTTCATCAGGCGTATACGATGCACCAAAAGTAAACCCCACTCCTTATCCCTTAGTAATTTGTGTGGGCCATTTCTCCATATTTGATTTTTAACACACAGTGTTATACAGTGTCATTTACTTCATGATGATGATGCTTCGAGCATAAATTATCACCACTCATAATCAATATCGATGGATTCATACAACCTTTTCAACATTTGATTTCTATAGTCTTATCGCTTCATATTCTTTGTTTCGATTGGTAGTAAAGATTTCCATATCTCTGGTATAGGTAGATTGGTATTCCATCATTCATGTTACACCTGTGGGTGTAGATTTGATGGGAAAAGATTCAATAATGAATCTCCCTTCTACTCTCCACTCAATTATTATGGACTTGAGTACAGTGGTTTCATCCCACCTCCAATGTATGGTTGTGTATTAATCCAAACATTGCAATAGTCGAGTTTTTTTCCAAATTACTAATATTACTCAAGTCCATCATTCTATATTTAGCTAAATTCCTATATTCGGCTATTCTAACTGAGCCTAACCGGCTGGTTTGATCTATGTACTTGACCCCACTCACAGTGATTATATGGAATTTGATAGATTAGATTATTTTGCTCAATTGGTTCTATCGAATCCTTAAACCAACCGACAAAGTTTATCTCTGAGTGAGTGTATACGCTCCAATGCCACTCTAATTCCAGCTTTGTTGACGATCCTAAAGTATAGTTTCTGATGTACCTTTCTTATGATCAAATGTCTAAATGATACAACTAGAAAACTCACTAGTCAGTGCAACAACCTAAACAAGGAACTGAAGCACACGACACAACCATTAATAGTTAACAATTACACTCTACAGTTTGTTAAGAAATTCGTACAAATACACAAGGAAGGAAATAATAACACCAACACGAGTGGAAACGAGTTCACATCCTCCATTATGTCACCCTATAAGGAAGGAACATCAGTAAATTCACGTAGGATCGTCAACAAAGCTGGAATGAGGGTGGCACTCTGGAACCAACAAACTCACTCTGATATTAGTTTTATCGGATGCCTTAAGGATTCGATAGAACCAATTGAGCAAAATAATCTAATCTATCAAATTCCATGTAATCACTGTGAGTGGGATCAAGTACATAGATCAAACCAGCCGGTTAGGCTCAGTTAGAATAGCCGAATATAGGAATTTAGCTAAATATAGAATGATGGACTTGAGTAATATTAGTAATTTGGAAAAAAAACTCGACTATTGCAATGTTTGGATTAATACACAACCATACATTGGAGGTGGGATGAAACCACTGTACTCAAGTCCATAATAATTGAGTGGAGAGTAGAAGGGAGATTCATTATTGAATCTTTTCCCATCAAATCTACACCCACAGGTGTAACATGAATGACGCAACACCCATCTGCTTAAACCTTGGTAGATGGAGCGGGATTCCAACTCACCACCCATTGGTTACAAGTCATCCTCGTAAAATAATGAACTACACCTCTATAAAGTCAAATTGTACAAGTTGATATCTCATATTAGAGTATGTATTGCTCTAAGTAAGACAAAATATTCACCTGAGGTTTTCTTTCAACAAGTCTAATTACATGCATATGTGTAAAAGTTGGGCACTGTCGTGTAGAATGTAATTGCGTATTAGATAGATTTGTTTTGTCTTATATGGATAGCGCATAGTGTGATACATTATCATTTACTGGATGGATAACGACGTTTCAAGCATAAATTACTATTGCACATAATCATATCAGTGTGATGACACAACACTTTGGACATCTGATTTCTACAGTCGTATCACCTCATATTTTTTGTTTTTCTTGGTAGTAAAGATTTCCATATCTGTGGTATAAGTAGGTAGGTGGGTGTTGCATCATTCCTATTAGGTGTGTGTTGGATGAACGAAGATTCAGTAATCAATCTCTCTCTGTCTCCATCTAATTATGTTTGTTTAATTGGTTGTGTCGAATCCTTAAGGCATCCGATAAAGCTAATATCAGAGTGAGTTTGTTGGTTCCAGAGTGCCACCCTCATTCCAGCTTTGTTGACGATGCTACGTGAATTTACTGATGTTCCTTCCTTATAGGGTGACATGATGGAGGATGTAAACTCGTTTCCACTCGTGTTGGTGTTATTATTTCCTTCCTTGTGTATTTGTACGAATTTCTTAACAAACTGTAGAGTGTAATTGTTAACTATTAATGGTTGTGTCGTGTGCTTCAGTTCCTTGTTTAGGTTGTTGCACTGACTAGTGAGTTTTCTAGTTGTATCATTTAGACATTTGACTAAACCTGCCTTAACTGACTGACATTGGATGAGATAACTTGAAGTCTAGATACCCGTTGCAATATGTCGTTTTTCTTCAGACTGTAGTATGCAAACCACCGTCTATCCTTCTTTTTTTTTATGCCGTAATTGTCCTTGTTCATTTCCTACCTCATAAATGAATTAGATTTCACCTTCTATTGAGTTTAGTACCAATGTAAGCAAATATGAGGTTATAATGCTATAGAAATCGGATATCGAATGTGCTGTGTGTGTAACACATTGAGATGTGATTATGAACAATCGGTAATTTATGCTTGAAACGTCATCATTAATTAAATAATGCAGTTTCACTCGCTATGTGTTATAAATCAAATACCCAAGTCTGATATAAATTAAAATTCTACTGCACTGTCCAAGTTTTACACTTATAATGTTTATACTGGACGATGATTGAAGGTGAGATGAAAATCTTAACCGCGGCCAGATCCCAACCAGCGATCACCGGGTATCAATACTAATCTGCCAAACTATGGCTAAGAGCGAGAAAAGGGGCATACGCTGGATCAACGAAAAGATCCTGGAAGATTTGGATTTCGCCGATGACTTGTGTCTAATGTTACACAAACTTGAAGATCTACAGGCAAAATCAAACAAGTTGATAGAAGAGACAGGGCAGGAAAGGAAGACGGGACTTCAAGTGAGCATAGAGAAGACAGAGGTGATGATGATACCCAACCAGTATCACCAATCACCATCGTTTCAACTACAGGCAAGACAGACAAGGACTTAAAAGCCAGCCAGGATCGGAAAAGCAAGACAGGCGTTCATTAACCTGAAACCAGTGTGGAGATCTACTTCATTCAGCGTAAAGTACAAGATGCGGATTTTCAATACTAATGTCAAGTCAGTGCTTCTATATGGTTCAGAAACTTGGCGAGTCACGAAAGGCGTTTCCAACAAACTACAGATATTCATTACCAACTGCCTACGCTCGTTACGAAAGCTCAGACGGCCAGAATAATAAGAATAGGCAACAAGGAACTCTGAACTGACAACGAACCAACCAAGAACCTATCGGTCAACAAATACGCAGAAGAAAGTGGAAATGGATTGGGCGTGTACTGAGAAGACCATTCAGGGACGTCACGCGCCAGGCCCTTGAGTAGAACCCAAAGGGTAAACGACGAGTTGGGTGTCCGAGGTGATGGTGACATAGAGGATATCGTGCGAGGAAGAAATGAGAGCTTGTGGGCTGTCGTGAAGCCAGGTTCAAAGGGTTGCAGAGAACAGAGTGGAATGGAGACGTGCTACTGAATCCCTATGTTCCACTAGGAACCCAAGGGACAAATAATAATAATAAACTACTGCTATATCATATAATCAAATTATGTTATAATCTTAGTGACTTACTTTTCTTTGTTTGTTTTTTTAAAACAATTCTCGGGTAACTTCATTAACTTACCTTTAAATAGTGAGAATGTCATTTGTCTTTTTTTTCCCTGTAGAGTATATGAAAGGCGGAATTTTATTTATTTATTTCTAAACAACATGAAAGATTAATGTTCTTGAAGGAAAGTAGTCGTTGTAACAGGAATTTAATATAGAAAGACGACGGCATGATTTGTCGGTTTACATATCTATCATCCTTTGAATGCCGGTCTTAAACTGTTACACATTTTTTTATACTAAAGCTGGAATAGATTAGTCAGGACCTTTTTTTTCTCTTTTTTATTGCTCAATAATGTTGGTTTTGTGGATTCTCTATTCCTTTAATTTTTCTTAAGTAGAAGGAGTTGTATGTCTATTTGTTTAAGCCTTTGACTGGCTAGCAGTTAGATCATGCCATCAAACCACTCACTTTATGCTCCGCGAAACCAGACGTATTGCTGTCTACCTGTTGAAAGACCCTAAGACTTGTGTAAAACATTGTTTATTAATCTAAACATTTTTAAACTGTCGTTTTCGCGCCACTTTTTTAGCGATATGTTCAGCAGTTCGTTCATCCCACCTTCCTCAATTTTCAAAGTAATTCACTCTTCTATTAATGCTAACTTTTACTATGGTAATGTCTTAAATTCTGAACAAGGTCATATGTTATATACTCGTATATATATATATATATATATATATATATATATATATATATATATATATATATATATATATATATATATATATATATATATATATATATATATATATATATATATATATATACTTCTCGGAGATGGTGATAAAGTCTCCGATCTCATCCAGTCCTTGTGTCTACTTCGTCTGGGGTCGGACACCGTGGATCTTATGTAGAAAGTTTGGTGTGCTATATCCCGTCAAGAACAGAACAATACCCCATACATATCAAGTGTACTTCATTGTCTTGTACATAAGCTACTCTATACTAGATCGGTGATCTGTATTGTATAGTTATCATATCTGAATAAAATTACAGATGGGTTTTCTGCTCAATATCTTCACTTTTTTTACGCTACCAATTGAGTCTTTCTTTTTGTTTCTTAAATATCAGCGACCATTCACACATGAATCTTTATTGATTGATCGTAAAGATTATCGTTTAACACGTGTTGAAAAGCGTATGGCTCGTCAACGTTATGAACAAGAGAAACGATTAAGTATGAGTTATCAACAGGCTCATTTATTTCAACTACAACAGATGCAAATAATACAACGGCAACAACAACAACTTTTAGCCGCTGGAATAAATCCTGCTCTAGTGGATACAACTCGGTAAGCAATAGTGATTTGTTTCACTATATTGTATCAGTTGTTTTTCACTGTTTTGATGATATTCCCCTAGTTTGAAAAATTTGAGCAAATATGTTGAACTGTATACAGTCTAACATGATGCTCGTAAAAGACAGTCCTGGTTTTAACCCGCACACTTCTTGCTTCGGTCTGCGCAACTAGGTAATATTAATAATCTTACAATGAGTGTTATATTGGTGGATTTCAGGGCTGACAGAGTTGTGAAGGTGGTTGATACTTCTCCGCTCCCTTCACCGTGAAAGGCTAGTTCTCCTTGAAGTATCTTAAAGAGGAAAGGTTAGTATATGACTGCAAAGCCTATGGGATTTGTGTTTGAGACCGGTCACATGCAGCCGTTGTAGTTTGCTTTCTTCGAATCTGATTATGAACCCGTATCACCAGCACCGGTATCCCGTGAGGTAGTAGGGAGCGTATTCTTTTTAGGACTGTCCTTTTCTTACTCTTCCATCGTTTTTTCGAGGAAAGGAGCTGGATCAGCGTGCCACTGCTGTCACATCCCTATCCAGTCATCAGTATGATTTTATCTTCGGATTTCTATCAACAGCTTGGCAATTTTCACTTTAGCGGTAACTGCTTTTTATCTTACCACTATCCAGTACACCTTTCTGGTATAATGGGACCTTGAAAGAGAAAGCGTTCCAGTCGGTGTGGCTCATTGGGTCACTGTGATATGTAAGTCCAACCCCCACATCAAAGTAGCAGCTACCTGTTGGGACATTGAATGTTACTCATGACCTGATACGTAGATGTTCATTGGTTGGTTGAATCACACTTATTATTATTATTATTATTATTATTATTATTATTATTATTATTACTATTACTATTATTAGTCAACCAGTTATTATATCACATGTGTAAGGTCTAATCACTTGAAGGTTACAGTTATCCATCCCCTTTCTGTTCTTTTATGATTGCTTGAATTCTGTGGAAATGCTAAACACTGAAGACTTCAGTCGGTTAGGTCAGTGAAGTATATTTAACGTCATTGGTTTTGCTGATGGTTTTGATTGATGTTGAAACTATCGTTCAGTGCATTGAATCACCTAGAATTATGAACTAGATTATGGACTACACTTGTTATGTGAAGGCCTGTGATACTATCCAAATCGAAGTAGATGGGGTGCGATTTTAACTCAGTACTGGTTGCTTGAAAGTCAAATGTTTGAACCAATGGAGGACATCTTCTCCAGTGTGAAGGGCTTGTTTCCCTGACTGCAGCTTTTGAAAGGAGAATGAGAAGACTCTGTGTAAAATCGAATATACCAGGCTACAGTTCAAGATCTGCTACATTCCTAATCCCCGTTTCAGTTTCAGTTACCCTTCCCTTATTACCAGGACAGTCTATCAGGCCTTTTAAGTCTCTAACTAATTGAATACATCTCATTCTTTGGTAAGTTTGTCGTAAGGTAGGTAAGCTTTGAGACCTGATGGAAAAATAGCATATCACTGCAATCTATCATACTTCACATGTGCACTTGGACGGCGTACGAAGAAACAAAAATAAGATAATAAGTGTTTGTTGATATGCATGTAATTCTCCGTTGTTTTACTGGATCGAATTGTTCGACCTCTATTGGCATATATGCTCCTATGTGTATGCCTTGATAGAGGTCGAACAATCCGATCCAGTAAAACAATAGAGAATTACAAGCATATCAATAACTAGTAGTAACTAACACCCATTGTACTAGAGTCATGCTCCAGTGGATAACTCTGTGACATTTGAAGCGATGGGTACGAGGTTCTCGTCTCAATAGGAACAAAATCACTCACTGGTGTTGAAGTACATCTAGCTGACGAATTTTAGATAGAATGAAATGCACGTTCCCGATTCCACTGCTAGCCACAACCAAGTAAATTATCAAAAGTTAGATAAGCTTAATGATTGTAAGTTTGATATGATATGGCATCGACGTGTGTCCAGTCTTATGTATTCCAAGTAGTTGCTTTTTATCCTACATGAAATAAACTTCTTCTTGAAGTCTATTTAGTCAGAACAAGAGTTTGAGGTGTGAAATGATTGAGTGTAACTTGCGTATGACTCAATCATCCGAGTCACTGTAGTTTCACAGTCTCACTAACTAACCTATATCTAACATTCGATTGACGTCAACTTCACTCCTGACAACCAAATATAGTGCTCATTAGTAGTGTTTTTACACGCTTCATCCTCAATAGACAGTACTGTAGAACAGAGGTTGGATAGTCCTGCAATGTACCCGATCCTTGATAGACTTTCGGATATCTTAGTTACTCTACAGATTGCATAAGGATTCTTGTATATCCATACTAAGATTCTTTCATCATGAATAGCATTTCAATTATAAATCTTTACTTAGATTTCGTTATATTTTATTATGGGTAATAAGGAAAGATTTGATTTTCTTGATTATCATTTCTGTAGACTGTACAATCCCCGTACACCTAATATCCTATCCCGAAGTACTATCAACTATCGACCCACTTATACTAGTGGAATGGCAGCGTTGGATGCTATGCGTCAAGTTGATCGACAAGCACGTCTACGAATGTTACAAAAAGATTTAGATGAAGCACGTAGACGTTGTGGTTATGCAAAATCTGATGGACTTAGTAAGTGTTATTTACGTGTCTCCAGGATTTTCTTTTTTTTCTTCACTTGTTATAATTTATTCACTGGCAATCCAGTACATCATATCTAAAGTGGGTAGAATATTCAAAATGTATATTTGTGAATTCATTTGCCCCCCCTCCCTTTCAAGTTAGCTTCAAATGAAATTGTTTCTCATTATTTTGCTATTTGTACTTCTTAATGAGAGAATGTAAAGCAAAATAAATTTATTTCAACTGACCCAAAATTGGCAGCTCATTTTAGTTCAAGCTCAAACCTAAGTCATACATACCTTCCAGATTCTACAGTCTAACCAAGATTCACAAACCTTCCATTCCACTGAGACTAATTGTAGACTTCACCAACATACAACCTTTCCAAATATCTGGGTTCAGTACTTAAACCCCCTACAAAAGCACTTACGATACACAATAAAGGACTCACTTGATGACTTTACATCCAAAATACATTCACTTGAAATTGAGAAAGATGAAATTATGGTAAGCTTTGACATCGATTCTTTATGTACTAGTATTCCAATTAATGATAGTCTAGACGCAACACTGACACAAAGATGTCCACTGAGTGACATCATCAAAGCCTTAAAATTCTGTTGAGAGACTACATACTTCACATTTAAAGGAAAACTATACAGCCAAACTAACGGTGTTACTATGGGTTCACCTGTTTCACCTACAGTAGCTGCTAACCTATTTATTGAGTAAATTCGAAGAAAATGTCTTCACTTACTTACTAAAGCCAAAAATTTGGCTTGTATTCTTAGATCACTTGAGCTCTAAATCACCCAGTGTCAAATTCAGCTCAGAAAAAGAAGCGGATAAGGGGGGGGAGAATCGCCTTTTCTTTGATTTTGTCATGTAAAGCGGAAAGAAAATGGATATTTACGTGTAACCATTTTAAAGAAAGCATCACATTCGAACAAATATTTAGATTTCAGCTCATCACATCCAATTAGTACGAAAGTTTCTGTTGCCCCTAGTCTTTTAAGGAGAGCAAACCCTAATTCATGAATTGAAATATGTGAACAAGATACTTAAAGTGAATAATTATCTGGTAAAATTCATTCGCAAAATAGAAAATAACATTAAATTAGATCGTAGAACTGTTTGTAAATCGTTGGTCCCAACAATAGTTATCCCGTACAGATCACAGACATCGGATGAAATTAGGAGAGACCCCAACAACTGCAATATCATCAGAATGTTCTACAGAACACCAAACACATTGCGCACCACCCTTAGTTCATTTGAAGGACGAGATCCCTCTAGATTCTGTTTATAAGATAAAATGCTCAGACTATAATGCAATTCATACTACATAGGATAAACTTCCTGCAAAATCGAAATTGGGAAAAATGAACCTCACAAAACTCCCACCCGACCCCTTAGAAATCTAGAAAAACTTGAAAACATCAGCCATAATTTCAGGCCATATAGTCGACTCTTCGACAATATCGAAATTATTCAGAAAGGCTTCGGGAAAACTATAAAGAACGTCTCTTAGCAGAATCTCTTCACATTAAGTGGGATCAAAATTTTCTAAGTGGAAATAAACTAGTAGGACGTAGTTTGACCTGATCTCAACCCACCCCCACATACTGACATAACCAACAGACACAGGAGACAAGACCTATCAACACAAGTGTATACATACAAATCCCCATCTTTAATTCATACTCTCCACACACACACACACACACAACACCACATATGGATATCATCTTATGTTCTACAATTCTAACAACGTAGAATCATTCATGCAGAGGAACACTTGTCAAGTTATCATTATATAAGCTTGGAGGATATTGTAAATTCCGGTTTACAACAACTTGGATAAAGCTGTTAGGAGTACTAAGGAGCAAAACATCAGTTGAAATAGGCTTATTTTGTTTCGCATTCTCATAGGGAAATAGAAATACCAAAATAATGAATATCGTTATTTTGACCTAATGCCAAAATCATTTTCAAACCATCAAACCCCAACTTGTTTTGAATATCTACAACCAGATAATCGTTTAATCAGATTAGAAATCAACAAGACATTGTTAAAAGTTGTATTACGACTCAATGTATTACATAGAGAGGCGGTAATACTGTTGACACCTTACATGATGTGAATAACCAGTATTCGTTTCAAATTAGAAATTAGGTGATTAATTCTTAGTGGAAACGTTGTGGCATATACTAGGTTGCAGATATATTTTGATGATCAATTCAAGTGGAAGCAAGTGAAAAGAAAACTTCAGTGCCAATCTAGATCACCATTGAAATATCGCCATTTTGCTAACACTGTATATCTCACAGAGTTGCGTAGTCACTTCAAAATGGATAGGAGGAGGAGTTTTGTGGAAGAATGAACAATCTGAAGTTAAAAGTTTCTTCGAATATTCAAGCTTTACAAGATGTCAGGGAATGAATGTATTTGCACCATTGTCACAGATTTGCAGGCATGACACCAAAAGTCCTCAACCACTGATCTCTTTCCTTTCGAGGATCCCAACCATGCAGTCTATATCTGCCAACACAGCTCAGATGAACAGTAAAAGACTTCATCGACTAGTACCAAGTTTTGATGTGATCATCCTGAACCTTCTTCTTCCAATTTGATCCTCCTTTCCTTAGCATAACATGTCGAAGCCATTTCAGTTGGTGAAGGTTTACAACCTCATCAATCGACTTGCCTATCTTGCATATATTACTCTTCATTTGACCTCAAGATTGTTCAGACAGTGATTTCACCCAACGCAAACAACGAGCGGTAACATCAGTAAGTCTGACAAAATAAGTGTAATTCTTAGCTTATTGCATAAAGTTGTTTGTCGTTACTTAGTTGCACTGGTTACATATATGTTTGGTCCTAATACATAAAGAGAGAATCTTTCTTCAATAACGTCTTCTGTCGGTATTCACTTAGTGATACCTTTGGGTTCGATCCACATGTTTATGTGGCTATCTGTTGGTCTTGTTTGTCTACCTGTCTGACTGTTAAATATATGGGTCACTGACTTGTTAACTTAACTTTCATGCGGCAGGTCCAGAGGTGAAAGTCCGCTCCACCCGGAGCTAGCTAAGTAGTATCATCAGTCGTTACACAGTAAGTGCAACATGTAGACCAGTTCATAGACATATAGAGCATTTCTTTTATCACTATTATAAGTATTAGAAGTATGATCAATATAGTCCAGTGTTTCATTTCTCCATCATAACAGTCCTTTCTTACTTTATCTGAATTTTCTTTTTCCCTCCCTCGATCCCCCTCCTCTTCCTCCTTCAATATACCTGTTTAGATAAAATAACTGAATCACCTGACTGTAAAGTGACAAGGATTGTAGCCAATACAGGTGAGTGACTACACACCTCGATTTGCACTGTATATATCTTTATTTAAAGCATTCACTGTTCAACTGAAACTTTTATTTTTACAGAAAATAATATATATATATTTAGACCGTATTTCATCTTTTTCTCTATGATGTGTAGATGTATAAGTTATGGGGTTGTGGCTCATTGGTCTCAACAGCCAAACTTTAACCAAATGAGTCATGGATTCGAGAATCACTTCACTTAATAAAGTTTAGAAGGCTAGGTTATATGACTAACACTTATATAATGGTTGTGTATGTCATCGGTGATCCTACGAAGTGTGGTATGTGTGTGTTTCTTTACTGTTCTGATACGGTAATATGCATCGTGTCTTCTCTAAAGTGTATATAGTGACCTCATACATGCAGCATATTAAATAGTTTCCATGTAGAAGAAAATCAATCCTTGTAAAGCTGAATTTAAAAAGTGTTAATTTAATTTAGACGTTTGTGGGGATTTAGCGATTTTTCAAGTTGATATTCATCATGAACGGACATCAGTTGAAGAAACATTGAGATACCGGGTGGATTGGACAAGTGTTTCGTCTCACTCCTCCTGATCAGTGCTCACCCATTGCCCCGCCAGGGGTCGGACCTAGGACCTTCAGGTTCTATGACCAGCATGTTACATTAAGCTAGCCACTGGGTTGAGATCCAATCGTCTACTTTTCCCACCTCTGTCATTTCAAGATATAGTGCGTTCACCAGCAAATATTATTGTTGAGTATTTGTCCTCACGACTACCAGGTCTTCACCGTCAATCATGGGTTCACACTGCTGAGGACGGAACAGCTGTTAAGTACTTTCAGGTTTCATATATTTTTCCAACTGATGTAATTCCATGCTGAATACCAACTTAAAAATGTGTTACCTTTTCCAGTGATATTCTATCATTCGAAGACAATCCATTATTGTAAACGAGTAGTAAAATACTCTGTCTATAACTATGATTCAATAGGTTACTGTTGTTAAGTGTAAAGTATATTTTGACGTAAAAGGGCGCTAAATATATATAAGCATAATGTAGATTGAGGAAATCAACATCAATATATAGGTTAGTGTAAATATTTAGATGTCAAGGAGTGAATACATTTGCGCCATTGTGACTGATTTTCCAGCCATTTCACCATGAGTCCTCATCCGATGACTCATTTCCTCTCGACGACCCTAACTAAACAGTCTACATTCTACTCACACCAAAAGCCAGGGACTTCATCGACTGGTTCCAGGTGTTGTTCTCACCACCCTGAATCCTCTTCCATCCTAATCCAACTTTCTTTAGGATGGTACGTCGAAGTAGGCAGTGACTCGGCGTGTACAGTACATGTCAAAGCCATTTCAGTCGACTAAGACTCACAACCTCGTCAGTCAACTGGCCTGTCTTACCTGCTACTCTTCAACTGATCTCAATATTCCATATATGGTGATTCCATCAAACGCGAGCAATGCTATGAAGACATCTGTAGTCAAAACCTCCTAATTGAAATATGAAGTTAACAACCCAAGGACACAATTGTTGCGTTATATTTAATGCAATCACCTTTGAGGTGAATTAACGAAATATTATATTTAAAGTGAGGCACCAACTAACGAGAAAGCAGCCTTTAAACCAATAAAATAGAACGATTCACGTGTGTAAAAGATGGGGGAAAAGGTCATTCAAATTTTGCGTATGCGAAATTTTCTAAAGTTCAATCATAAGACGTTCATTTCTCGAGATGTAACATCCCCAACCACCTCACCCCGCCTACAATATTCCGCTCGAAAAACTACCGTCTTTCGCTGTCATCTGTCTGACCATTTTCATGAACAGAGTTCCTTTAATCCTTGGGTGGAATTTTCTGAAACCGACTCATCCTTACCGGGAAGGTGAAGAGTGTTCAGTAGAATTTCCAGGGGAAGTCTTTGACGATGATGGTTGTTCGGATGCTGCTCTTTAAACAGAGTCGATTCCTGTGTCGTGTTCGAGGGCTACTTCGCATATCACACAGATTATCATTTCGGCTATTCATTTGTCGTGCCCGGATCGATACTCGCGAGAAATATACTGGTACTCGCTGGTGGTCTTTTTGAAGGTACTTTCAGGGTCATGATATCGTGAAGTGTTCTGAATTTACACCTTATCTATGCTCCGGTGAGAGTCGGACGTTCGAGTAACACTTCGTTGAGTGTTGTTTCGTACAGAAACTGTTGAGTGCTATCCGTTAGTCTCTCTTCTCCTCCCGCCTTTAGTGATACTCCTTCAGATATATCTACGAAGTGTTCAACTTGTTAATTAGATTGTGGCTAGTAGGGTGGTGGTGAGAGAATGTGATCGACCCTGTTAATTTAAGAATATTATTAGAATTCAATGTGGGCTTTGTAGGGATTTATTGATTTCAAATTGGTATTCATCAAGGATTGACATCAGCCAGATGAACATTGGAGACCTCGGAGCACTGTTTCGTTCCATTATAGGACTCCTTATCAGTCCGCAACCATAACCGTTGTTTAACGTTCTCTTTGCATGCTTCTGTGACGTGAGGTAGCTTGAACGGAGTTAAAACCCGAAACTTGCTTGTCTAAACCTACTGATCATATCCCTGAAATCCACCTTGTGCACATTCATGCAGTAAACAATGAGCCACACCTATTTTGTGAAGGCTAATGATGGTACAACCTGACCACCTGAACCTCGATAGGTGTAGCGGCGTTCGGACTAATGACCCACTGAAAGTCAAGTCATAACTTCACTAATATTTATGGGTTCCAAAGGTCATTGCAGATTGCAACACTATAAAGGATTTCAGTACTTAGTAATAGTCTGATCTTGTTCACCTTACTTCAACAAACAAGATTCAGCACTATAAAAGTTGCGATAACTTACAAAATATCGTTCACCCAATTCACTAAGCTATGAATCCAACATTGTATCAATTTGACCAAAAAATATCAACTTACCGAAAATACTTCGTGCAAAACAACAACCCAAAAAAGGCTGTGTAACAGGCTTCAAGCATGTGTCCCATAGGCTCTATGGTCACACAAATCTTTTCCTCTTTCAGTTACCTTAAGAAGAAATAGCCTTCTATGGTGTGGGTAATCGCGAAGTATCAACCAACTCACACGCCCCCAGTAGTACACAAGATCCAATCAAACATAACTTATCCTCCTTAACTCTCTCTCGTTCTTTGCCTTGGCCTCCTGATATTAATGTTAGTCCTCTTACGCCTTACCCAGCCTCTCACTCTGCAACCATTACCAACGATCGAAACCGTATTCCTAAGACCCCGCCATCGACTTCGTGTAGGAGCTTTCAATGTCTGAACCCTATGCCAAATCGGATAGCAAGCATCGCTCGCTAAAACTCTGGAATCTCTAACTATATAATATATATATATATATATATATATATATATATATATATATATATATATATTCTCTTTGAGACACCTTTTCAGGACCCGAGTGCGGTGATTAAATTGACCTCATAATGGCAGGCGATTTCAACGCTCAGATATTAAAGTTGAATCAGTCAAAAAGACATATTGGGTGTATTGTGTGCTCCATTTTATTCAAACGAACCGATTATAGTAATCGTCTGTTTCAGTTTTGTTTCTGACATTCACTTGTTTTTGACCAGCACTAACGTTAAGCATAAGGAAGAACCCCTTTTCACATGGCATTTGGCAACATCTAACCAACAATAGAGAGGTTCGGTGGAGAATTACCACTTTAAACTCCGGTCACGCGTTGGTAGGAGCACGTGTTTGTCTGTGCTTTACTGGTCGCAGGAAACAGGCAACAATGAAGGCTCAGTGTGCTCGACCGGAAGATCAGAACGTCCAATGCGTGTTCATTGAGGAGATAGCTAAGTGAATATCTAAACAATCAGCAATTCTCATCCTGATGAGAACTGGAGTGATATTCAGTATACCGTCGAAACAGCAGTAAACACAGAAACGTGCATACAAAGGTTAGCAGATACTAGGGGTTACAGAAACCGTCACTGAAAAGTATGCTATCCTGATAACCTATCAGAACAGACGAGTGAAAGGTTGGTTAGAACACTGAAACAGCTCAGGTGAATCACAGTAACGCTTCAGTTACCCAAACATCCAATGTGAATCTGAATGGGATGTAGATGTCGGTCCACCAACGCACCTTGAAGTTGAGAAAGCCGTATCGAAACTGAAACGATGGGAAGCAGTAGGACTTGTTAGTTTGCCACCCAGAGCTTCCAAGGATGGAGGTAGGAAGCTGCCAATTAAAATGACGGAGTTACTAGGTAGTGCATGGGAACTATGGTAATGCTATCAGACTACTGTACTTCTGTGATCATCCCAGTGTATAAGAAAGGAAAGAAGTCTTTTGTGACAACAATAGGGGAGTTAGTTTGACCAATATCGCGTCTGAGATCCTCGGATCCATGGTTATCTGGCGCCTAACTGCATCTTAAAAAAAAACCAGGCTGGTTTTAGACACCTGGACAAGGCTACATCGAACATATTTTCACACTCCGACAGGTTCTGGAACACAGGCATACCTACCATCCAGTGGCCGATACTTACCATATTTCTTGACCTGGAGGCCTCATTCGACTCTTTTGATCGAGAAGTTTTATGATAGTGCTGAACTGTGAAAGAAGTACCGAGCGAGTATGTAATAATACTGAAGGCTCCACTGGAAATCATGCAGTTCCATGAGTTTTCATCTGAAGTAATATGGGAGAGTATTGTCTACCAGTCGTCACTTTTGTTAATGATCTTCATTGGTGGTATATTGTTGAACGTAATTCTGAATATATCTGGTTTCACAGTGTCTGGTTCACTCCTGGGATAACATGTGATTGACTTGGAGTAAACAGATGGCATTGTCCTCTTCAGTGAAGATACTGACAAAATGCACGGTCTTCTGAGCAACCTTGACAGAAGTCTGAGTATGTTTGGCATACGTTTCGCACCTGTCTAATGTAATATGATGCTCCAGGACTTGTCTCTAATTGCCTCCAGTTTAGGGATAGGTAAAGAAGTGATAGAACATGTTGACCACTTCCCTTGCATACAGAGTCACATCCACCTGGACGGGCTAGTTGTTGACGAAATCTCCCCTGGGATACTGAAGCCTTGTTTAAGATTTACCAACTTACGTCATATTTAATGCCTACTGGTGAGATATCCGACTACCTGATAAAGGACCAGTATACTGCGTTGCAGTCTGTTGTACCCTATTTTATGGTTGTGAGAAAATATGACACCTTTACGCCAACCATCAGGACAAATTGGAAACATTGAGCAACATCCCTGAAGGATCGGACATGGAAGAACACTGGAATTCTTTGAAAAAGACATGAAAGGAAACCTGCATAACCGTGTTAAGAAGTAAGAAGAAACAAGACAAGGAATGGATCTCGACGGACACATGGAAGCTGAAAGAGGAGAGGAAGATGGTGAAGCAAAAGATAAACCAGTGCAAGGATGAACAACGAGAAGAGGAACTGAAAACCTATACAAGACTACACTGGGTAAAGAAGTGAAGAAGAGTGCATGGAAAGACGAAAGACACGTCTACGACACATCGGCAAGTGAAGTAGAACAGGCTGCAGGTAGGAAAGATCTGACTACAACATATCAAATAGCCAGGTTACTATCTGTGAAGAGATCAACACAAATAAGATTAATGGAAGATAGTGAAGGGAACTTAGTTGGCAAAGGGAGAAACAAAGGTAACGATGGGTTGACCACTTCAAAAAACTCTTGAATCGACCACCATCAACAACTGCAACTCGTCCAGTAATACCATCAGCAGACCAGCCACAGAATTATCAGTCAATACAAGTTTTCCGACAAAAGCAGTAGTGAAGTCCTGAACACCATTAAGTTGCTGAAATCCGGGAAAGCAGCAGGACCAGATGGAATTCCGCCAGAAGCGCTGAAAACAGAGACAACAGCGGACACGTTCATACCACTGTTGCAGAAGGTTTGGAAGGAATGAAGCAAAGGTACCTGATGATGGATTGGAAGAAGGGCTACCTTGTCAAACTCCCAAAGAAGACCTAAGTCTTTGCACGAACTGGCGCGGAATCATACTGCTGTTCGCCCCAACAAAATATTAAGCCACATCATCCTGGAGCGACTAAACAATGCTCTGGATTCAAAATTACAACCGGAACAGATTGGATTCAGGAATAGCAAATCATGTGCGGATCAAATTGCAACACTACTCATCATCATAGAACAGAGTATAGAGTGACAGTTAACTCAATCTCAACTTCATCGATTTGTAAAAAGCCTTGGACAGCGTCGACCGAGAAGAAATTTATCAGGCAGCTGCGTAAACACCGGTTTTAGTGCCATAAACCTTTATGAGCCTCATTTAACAGCTAGATGCTATGCTACATGCCAAGTGATTCACAATGAACAGCTCGGTGAAGACAAGAAGGAGTGAGACATGACTACCTACTATCATCACCCATAATCTTCCTGATTGCGGTCGACTGGACTAGACTGGAACATGCAACAGACAACTGTGAGAAGATGGGCATACGCTATTCGACCGATGAAAAGACATTAGAAGACTTGGATTTCGCCGATGATGATTTATGTCTTATGTCTTGTTGCACAAACTCGATGATCTACAGGCGAAAACTAACAAGTTAGCAGAAGACGCGTGGTGAGGCAGCGAAGGAAGACGGCACATCCTTCACGTAAACGTAGGGAAGACAGAAGTGATGAAGATATTCAAGCAACAACAACACCCTCAATGGGAGAAATCTAAACGAAGTTGTCTCTTTCACCCACCTACCCACCTACCTACCTATGTAGCATCCTCTCAACTACAGGTGGCGGTAGCGGCACAGATGACGATGTTAAAGCCACTATCAGAAAAACACCAACACAGGCCTTCCTTCATTAACTTGAAGTCAGTGTGGAGATCCATTGCACTGCACTACACTGAACTCCACTCAGCATAAAGTGTGATCAAAATCCAGATTTTTAACACTGATTGGTGTCAGTCAAGCCAGTCAGTGCTTCTATATGATGGTTGAGAGACACAGTGGCGCATTACGAAAAACATTTCCAACAAACTGCACACATACATGATGAACAGCTGCTGCCTACGCTCACTCGATACTGAAGATGGTCAGAATAGTAAGAATAAACAAGAAGGAAGTCATCGTGGATGGCAACTAATAAGCTATCGTCCAACGTGTATGCAGAGGAGGGAAGTGGAGATGGATTGGACATACACTGAGAAGACTATTTGGAGACATCACGCGTCAGGGGCCAGGTCGTCGAGTGGAATCGAAACGGGAAAACAACAAGTTGGGCGTCCGGGGGGAGGGTGACATGGAGGAGATGGTGTGAGGAAGAAATACAAACTTATTTGGTCGTCCCGCTGAAGCTCTTTGTTCCACTAGAAATCCAAAGGACAAATATTGATAGAAAATAAATATTCGTAATTGTAATGCAGATTACTGGTACTTCATACTTTGTTTCACATTCCACACACTTTTTTAATTATTATCTTGGCTTATGCATCAATATGCTAACCAACGCATAACTAACAACTAATTCACATCGCATTCCTATTCAATAAAATCACTTCCAAAAAGAATATAAACTTTTTTAAGCTGTAATGACTTGGAGGCGACAACGTGGAATGATAAGATATCGGTTGAAAGGCGATGTGAACTTTCATCATAAATTGTGCAAATAAGCAGAATTGAAGGTAACTTTAGTAGGAAGATATAAGAAGAAAATTAGTTTGAAATTCATCCTGGACTGGCATCAGTTGAGGGAACCTGGGAACTCTGGATCACAGCTGTTTTCAACCGGCCGAGATCGAATCCAGGACTTTCAAGTTTTGTGGCGAGGTTATGGGCGCGTACTGCCGAGGAGTCAAACTAATGGGACGAAACAGCTACGACTCAGTGTTCTCATGTTCCCAATATTCTTCTAACTGATGATATTCCATGATGAATTCCATGCTTAAAACCAATTAGTAAATCTCCACAAACCTTCAGATGGATATCAAAAAGTTGATGCATATCAGGTTGCAAGCATGATAGATCCATGTCATATGACGTCTCCATAAACAAAATTTTCACTGCAACACACTGTTTCTTATTATACCTTATCCATTGCTGCAGTTTATCGACTCGCTTACTTAATTCTAATCAGAATTTTTTATCGAAGAAAACAATCACTGGAAAATGTGTGTACAATCAGTCTGATTCACTGTAACCATTGTCGTAAGTGTACAATGATCTTACCACAAAAGATGATAGAAGTTGTTTCGTCTAAGAGAGTATATTTTATGAAAAAATTTCACATATTTTTAGGTTTTAAATTGTTTTTACCTCCCATTATCGTTTTTTTATTGCAGATTTATTTTTCCCATCAACAACTAACTCAACTACTACACAACGTAAAATTCCTAAAGGTGAAGTACTTGAAGTAATACAAACACCAAAGGCGAAATATTTACGTATTAGTCGAACAGGTGATTTGTTCATTGTCAAGACGAGTGGATCAAGTAAATCATCTACTGAAGAAAGTAGTAGTCTTCTTGATGATGGTCAAGAGAAGTGTACTTCCAGTTCTGAAAATCATTTAGAGTCAAGTAGTGTGATTAGTGTGACTGCTCCTCAAGCATCGTCGATTACCACTACTGCCGCTGCTGCTGCTACTACTACTACTACTACTGCACAACCCTCAACAGTCACTAGCAGTGTAGAAAATGTTAACAACAACACTACTACTCCACCTGGATTCCCACGTAATAATTCTGCTCCAAGCTATGATAAACAGCAACATTCCCAAACACTTCAGAAACCATCTTACACTTCAACTAATTCTGATTCAAATGTTTCCTTGTATACTACACAAAACAAATCGGAAATTAATATACCTAACCAATCAGTTAAATACGGTAATAGTCAACCTTTTAATTACTCTCAAAATTATAACCAATCGAATGGAAATAATTTGCAACCATCTCCTAGTGTAACAGATCCCTCTTCAAGCGGTAGGTCAGTTTATTCTGAAGATTTGCGTTTCCTGTCAGCTAATACATCTCCGAAACGTGCTCATTCATCCAATGAATCGTTTGCCTGCGATTTGGGTGTTAAAGAGTCTCGTCTATCGTATAAAACAGATTCGTTGACTTATCAAAATCAGATGGTAAATCGACGTGATAGTACAAAAGAAGATCATGGGAATGGAAGTATTACCTATCCTAATCATACATTTTCATCTCAGGATCCTTTTCGTGTACATGTTCAGCGTAATCAACAGGCTGAATTGTCTTGGCCATGTTCAACTTGTGGACGAACAGTTGCTACAGGTTGTACTTGTCGTTTAAATCCTTCAAATGTCAACACACCTATGAGAACCACTGTCTCTAGTTCTTCATCAGCTAATGATCCCAGTATACAATCTTCTCGATTCAGGTCTTTCCCTGATTGTAATACTCATCAGGAGTCTTTTCAATCGAATCACATCAATAAGAAAAATTATCCTCCATCTACCAATTATCAGCCTACTGTTAGTGTACCTTATTATCAGTCTCCTCAGAATGTTTCTGTGTCGTCATCATCATCGCCATCTGCACATCGACAGTTGCAGCAACAACATCAGTATTTACGTGCAGCTGAAGATATTGCACGTCAGTCAGCCTTGTCAGTGGCTTCTAACAACAACAGTAATAATAATAATAATACAGCTAATTCCTATCAATCTGTCTATCAGAATCGATTGAATAGTGGAAATAACAACAGTACTGCCAACAGTAATCCACAACATCTCAATCTATCTGGCCATCATCCTAATAGTCTTCAAAGTCATGTATCTATGATGCAAGATTATTTTTCTCAGTTAACAAATCAACGTCCACAATTATCTTCATCATCTTCATTCGATATTCAACGTTCTCCATTTGGTGAACAACCATCACATGCTGTAGCTGCAGCAATGCAACAATATTTAGCGCATAGCAATCAAAATCATGTACATACTACCGGTCTGAACACTAACAATTCCTCTCATACTAATCATACAAACAATAACCAAACTAATCAAGAGAGTAATATGGCTAATTTGAGGCCATCATCATTCAATCCAGCTGTGCATTATCAACAATTTCAATTGGCTGCCGCTGCAAAAGAACAACAACAACGGCAGCATCAACAACAACAACTTTTGGAGCAACAACAACGTTTACAGAGTCAGAATGTTAGTGGTCATGTTGAACGAAGTGCACCACCTGCTGTCGCCGCGGCGGCGGCCGCTGCTGCAGCAGCAGCTGCTGTTCCCTCTTCTTCAGTGTTCAATCATTTACATTCACAAGCCTTTCCTAATTTTCATTTTCCACAATTTTAATCAACTTAATGTTTACTTATCCATGCTGCGTATTATGCAAGTAAAATACCCAGTTAGTTTTCCAATGAGGTTTGAATAAACAGTCTGGTTTATTCTTTCTCCCTTTGTCTCTAGTGTTAACCCATTTCTCTTCTTGTTGTAAAGTTATACATAAAACGTTTTCATTGTATATCAGGTGATACTGTGTGTTATGTATATAAACCGCTCATCCTCCTCTCTTTTTTTGTTTTTCGAAAACAGAAAAACAAGTCTGGTCTTACCCTCTTCCCCAATTTTCTGTCTAGAGTACATTCATTATTCTATTTACTTTATGAATAGTGTAATTCCATGAGCTACTTCTCTGTGTGTGTATGTAGACAGTGATGTGCATGCATAATATATACACTTTTGTAATTATTAGGTGTTCTCTGTGTTATTTGAGATGACTGTATTGTGCAATGTCTAGAAACCTTTTGTAAAAATCTTTCTCCCTCCTCTAGGTTTGCATATTGTTTTTTCCTTCATGTGTCGTATCATCACTTACCCTGTGTGTGTGCGTGCATGTGTTCTGCCTATTTGTCCGTCTCTCTGTCTTCATTATCATCGATATATACATACACAATGGTATTGTTAATAAATTCGTAATAATATACAACCATCGCCAATTGCCACTTCCATTTATTTATATCCGACTGTATACATTTTAAACATGAGAACAACAATTAATGCCTATTTGTTTATTTATTTATTTGTTCATTTAATTATTTATTTGTTAAGTTGATGACAATGTATCCATCTGTGTATGTTTCATTTGCAGACAAACATGTGTATGTGTGTATTATACACAACCGTAAACTTTGAATTCCCACTTGTTGTTGACTTTCTTTTATTGAGGGGGCAACATTACTGATAATGCTTTTAATATCATTTATTGCAAAGTATTATTATTATTATTATTTTACTACATACCTCTTCACTACTTGATAAAATAGAAACTATAATGTGCATTTACGGGTGCATTTCTGCTTTTTGTTGTCTGATAAACAGAATGTACGTGTTCAGTTGTGTGTGTGTGTGTGAGCATACGCATTTTTTAGTCGATATTCTTCTGATGTTGTTGTTGTTAAAAGTATGACCTTAAACGACACTGCTTGTATTATCCCGTGGTTGACCTCTGTTGGTATATGCGCTTCTCTGCGTATACCTTGGCGTGCATTTCGTCTTATTCGGGGCTCGTCAGCTGATGTACGTGCCTTCCCGTTGAGACTATGGAACCTGCGACTAAGTTGTCTCGAATGTCAGTGTTATTCACTGAGCTATCGAGTAACGATAGCAACCTCTTGTGTGATGGGTGTAATTTTATTGTAGTTGCTTGGATCGTACTGATCGGTCTATATTGGCATATGGGCTCCTGCGCAGATGATTTGATATTGCCTGGATTTTCAATTGTGATATCAATTAATATTAACGTCCAGCTAACGAATCCTAAATGGGATGGAACATGCGTCGTGGATCCCACTGCTTGGATGAATTTCTCTAATGATATCTGGACGTGTTTCTTGAGCATTGTGTATCAGAGCAAAAGACTACCTTCAGTCTCCTTGTACCCTATACTTCTTTTGGGATAACAAACGATGACCTTGAGCACCACGTCTATAGAAGTTATTATCAATCTGTTATGAACCTGTAAAGATGCAACAATGTCTCTAAGTGGTAATCAGCATTATACTAGAACGCCTACCTTGAGTATAGTTCTCTCGATTGCAATGCACTACATTTGTTCTTTATTCCTGTGAAAATGGCTGAAGAAGTTTGAATTTCTCCTCTTGTTGGATGTGATCAGCTATCCACTTCAGTTCATGCACGACTTAGATTTCTGGTTACTATCCTCATAAGGGATTGTTTATAATGTGAAATATTCATTTGTAATAACTGACAAATGTTTTTTTTTGAAAGTTCCATTTCTTACCTCGGAGATTTTTTGTACACTTTAACCATATCAGGATACAGATTGGCTATCAAGGGAATCGAAAATGCGCGTTTCCTCTCATCATTATGGATATGCCTATCTCTTCAATAATAATTGATGGTCTTCCTACTGAAACTTCAATCCAGCATCTGTCGATCCCACTCCTGACCACAATTCATCCTTGATGTCAAAATGAAATTACCAGTCATATCGGAGCGTCTGCACAACAGCTCATGTGCTATCAGATGAATGAATTCTATATAAACCAATCAGTAGCGAGAAATTAGAAGTTCCAGTATTCACACCGCATATCTCTCCCTTGTATGCATTCTATTGATCTATGCATACTTTTATCGAAACTTATCATCATGAAGATCAGGTATTACTGTGTAACAGTCCAAGTTGGCACACCTTATATGAGAACACCAAGTAACAAGGCAAAATGAAAGAGGAAAGGGGATTATATATATATCTGCACCACTGAATCATATCACTTAAAGTCTCCAACCACTAGTTTTCCTTGTTCCGCAAAACCTAACCGGAAACTCTGCATCACCCTACATGACTCAAACCAACAGTCAACGACTTCATGCATTGATGACATGTTTTAGTCTGGCCGCCCTCTCACACCTTTTTCAAACATGAACCTACTTCGGCCATCATTGTGTGACGAGACACACGGTAGTAAGGAATACGTTACACATGACACCCAGCCATCTGAGTCGATGAAGGTTCACAACGGCATCAATTATCTTACCTTTCCTACTTAAAACTCTACACGTGTCGACACGACGATACATGTCCTATGCTACGAAGGAAATGGTGGTCAAATATCAGAAACCTTCTCATATCTTCTACCTCCAATAGTCATTTTTCACAGATATAGAGTAGTTGAGAGTGGACTGAAAAACAGTACACTTGACCATTAATAAACAATCAGATTTCACGGTAGCACCATAGATGTGAGTTGGCAAAAGCCTCCCGAGCCTTTTGTATATGTGGAGAAACGCATTGCAAGCATTCTCGAAGTTATTGGAACCTAGGTGTTTTCTTTCCGAAGGGTGGTAATTATTTCTTGGGTTTCAGCAAGTACTTTTATCTCGGCTTTAAGTTATGGTTATACATTTCTCTGATATGGTGATTGATTAATTTCAACTAGCATATCCATTGAATTTGCTTTGAGATTCACAACCGAGCAGCATTGTTAGCCCTGAAGCACCGAAGGTTCATCTTAAACCAGTGAATAGACTTGTACTATATTGTTGAATTGATTGTATGTTAGTCATTCCACACTTTCATTATGAAATCAACTTGTTTGAATAGCTAAGTTTCTTTCGCAAGCCTATCAAACACTTATTTATAGATGTAGAGATGAGTGATAGGTTTTGATGATCAACAAGTTTCTAAGGAATAAGATTTTTGTTGTTGTCTTAGGTTGCTTATTTTTAACCTCTCTAGTATGTATGGTAACTATGCGAACTAAACTTCCTTTCTTCAACCGAATCTCAAAGTTAAATAGAATGTATGTTAATAGTAAGTTTGTCCAACGGCTGTTCACACTACCTCAATCAATACCTTATACTAGGTGATGTTTGTGGGTGAAATGAAAATGTGGACCTTGGCCGGACTCCAACAAACAACCACTGGGTTTCCGGGCTGATGTTCTACCAACTCAGTTACTAGGTTCGACTCCTCACCAGGTTTTTATTTCATTTCATCAGTCACTACCATAGGATTGGCCGGACTACCATGTGAATTCGTGATACGTTGCTATCGTTTCATCGTACTCACTGGCTGACTGCAGTCAGGACTTGTCATCCCAATTCAAATCTAATTAAATTAGAGAGGGAGCATCATTATTGACTACTTGAAACCCGGTGGTTGTTTGTTTGAATCCGGTCTGGGTCCAAATGTTCATTCCACCTTCTATCATCCAGTGTCAGTACTAGCCGGCTAAACTATGGCTGCTATCTCAGAGAGTCAAAATGATGATCATTATCTTATACCTAAATACTTGGATATACAGGTACATGAGTTTTGTCGTCAGGTATGGTTGTCTACTGTGTATAACTTACTGACTTTCAAATTGTAACAATGGTGGATAGTTTCTAGCAGTGGAATCTATAACGAGCAGGAATCATTATGTCAGTTGTGATCGATCACTTTGATCCAAACAAAGATGGGAAATTACAAGCAATAAGAATTACAGCCTATCGTAAATAGTTACATCTTGTGTGTATAACAAACAACTGTCCCACAATGATCAATCGTATTTCCTCTTTAAAGTCTACTGGCTGTATTGGTATTAGTCAAGATGCCCGTATTCTCTATCTCCCATATTCTGAGAGTAAATATATACACCTGAAAAAGTACCTCAGCACGTTCATTGTTCTTTAAAACAGATGTCGACGTAGCGATACTATAGAGTAGTCTTAATGTGGTATGGGTATGCATCACATGACAGACTGAGTATACGTTGAACGAAGATATTTTAAAATGAGGTTGATAAAACCTTATAGTAATACAACTGCCGTCTTATCTATTGCAGTGTAGACTCTGAACGATACTAAATAGTGTACGAGTTCATGAAACTACATAGTTTTCCCTCTCCCCACTTTGGTCATCAAAACGTGAGTTTAAGTCCATGACTCAGAAGTTTAAATTCGACTACGTAAGTCGATGAGTCACAGTTTCACGTTCACCATACAACTACTAATCATAACTCACAGTTATAGCTGTTTTTGTAAATAAGAACGTTTTTCTGTCAATGTGAAGCTTACTTAACATATTTATGTGTTATTCTTTAGCAAAAAAATGCCTATGGAACAATTATTGGTTCAATCTATGGATGAGCTCATGAGTAATATTAAGACTGCTCATCAAAAAGGACGTCTAGTGTTTGTTTACTTTTCTGGTTCAACGGATATGAATACTGGTGATAGCTGGTCTTCAGATTGTTGTCAATGTAAGATTTTCATTATGTTTAGGTTAATATATTTCATGTTTTCATATACACTGGATATCTTTGCATACTTACACTTTATATATTGTGACATAGTTTCGAGCTTATCGTTTGTCTTGGTATCTTCTAACTTACTGTATTTTTAGGACAGGCATCAAACTCATGGTTACTCTAGCTACTAGGCACCAATAGACTCCGTCGTATCATACAACAGTGAAATGTAGTTCGCGTAAGTTGTATGGAGTTTATACTTCCGAGCAACATTCTCATTTTACTGACTCATTCAACAATTTTAGATATTTAAAGTTGGCGCTTTTTGGATATGTGCGACATCGATTTAACTATCGAATGGCGAAACTGATCAGCTTGTTTGTCACTATTATTTATTATTTGTCCCTTGGGGTTCCTAGTGGAACATACGGGTTCAGTAGCACGTCTACATTTTACTCTATCCTCTGCAGTCTCTTTCATCTGGCTTCAAGATTGCCAATATGCTTTCAATTCTTCCTCACACCATCTCCTCCATGTCACCCTCCCCCCAGACGCCCAACTTGTTGTTTTCCGTTTGGATTCCACCCGATGGCCTGGCCCCTGACGCGTGATGTCTCCAAATAGTCTTCTCAGTGTATGTCCAATCCAATCCATCTCCACTTTCTAACTCTTCATACACGTTGAACGATAGCTTCTCGGTTGCCATCCACGATGACTTCCTTCTTGTTTATTCTTATTATTCTGACCATCTTCAGTATCGAGTGAGCGTAGGCAGCAGCTGTTCATCATGTATGTGTGCAGTTTGTTGGAAATGTTTTTCGTAATGCGCCACTGTGTCTCTCAACCATCATATAGAAGCATTGACTGACTTGACTGACACCAATCGGTGTTGAAAATCTGGATTTCGATCACGCTTTATGCTGAGTGGAGTGGAGTTCAGTGTAGTGCAGTGCAGTGGATCTCCACACTGATTTCAAGTTGATGAAGGAAGGCCTGTGTTGGTGTTTTTCTGACAGTGGCTTTAACATCGTCATCTGTGCCGCTGCCGCCACCTGTAGTTGACGATGCTACGTAGGTAGGTAGGTGATTGGTGCGTGTTGTCTTCCCCACGTTTATGTGAAGGATGTGCCGTCTTCCTTCGCTGCCTCGCTTCGCCTCACCTCTTCTGCTAACTTGTTAGTTTTCGCCTGTAGATCGTCGAGTTTATGTAACAAGACATTAGACATAAATCATCATCGGCGAAATCCAAATCTTCTAGTGTTTGTTTACGATACATAATATTCTTATGTTGGCCAAAATTATAACACTGAATCCTCACTCCATTATTAGATGAATAACGATCATCGACGGGAAACTGTACATCCTCTAGATTTACTATCTGTTGCCTGACAGTTGACAGCAAGACATATCTACAACTTCAGTCAGAAATAATCCTTTCTCAGAGATATAAACTTAGTGCATACATTGAGGATCGCTAACCTTGCTTTTTGAAGCTGGTTGTGGAAAGTCTCTAGAACTATATTCCGCGCTTATTATAGCTTCCATGAGCTAGGTGTATTTGGAGGCTTAATCCATCGTTAGATAGTTGAACCCATGTCATCGAGTTCTGCATTCAACCTTTTTTGTTGGATTGTAGATCAAAAACTGAATCAACTAGTTATCATTATTATGATTATTATTACTTTATGATATGCCTGTAATTCTCTGTTATTATATTACTTCGGAATCGATCGACCACTGTTGGCATATGGGAACAAACTCATTTATTTGGTTACAGGTACGTGTAGCTGACGAGTCCTGAAATAGGATGACATGCTCATCTTGGATTCCACTGCTAAATGAAATCAAGTCAGTCATGAATTAAATAGTTGGTTAAGGTGCATTATCTCATTTTAAAAAAATCCAAATGGAGTATTTTTGTGATAAATTCTCTATGCTTCTGTTACTCCTCATTATTACTGGCGTTGTTGCCTTCATTTCTTTGTTGGCTTCACTTTATAAATAGCTCATATGGTGGTAATGTACGGTTTAATAACTTCCGACTGATAGATGATTGTATCAGTTGCAGTGAAGTGTATACCAACTATGTTTAACAAATTAAATAAGTATTCTGTTTCATGTTATACTACTTGAAATTCCGACCAACCGCTTAATAACTACAAATGAAAGTAAAAGCGCTGAATTGTAATTACTATGTTCATAAGATCCTGCTCTCTTTCTCAGGGGTGTGTACAGACATCAACTTCTTCTTCCTCGATGCATTCAGTTTCTCTTTTCCCTTAAGATTCATATTGACACTTTTTATGATAAAAGTACATATTTACTTTTATTGTGACTTTCTGAGATAGCTGTACGTGGTTTGGTAGAGTAATATTCATACTGGGTAATGATTCAAGATGAAATGAAAATTTGGATGGCGGCTGAATTTGAACCAGCGACCACTGGGTTTCCGGCATAATGGTCTACTAACCTAAACTACGAGGTCCAACTCCTAACTAAATTTCCATTTGACTTCAGTCACCAAGAGTTTTGCTCAACTACGTTCAATCATCACCCAGTATAAATACTAGTCTGGCAAACTATGGCTATCTTAGATAATCAGTATGATTCTCTCCCTTCTAATTCAATTAGATTGGGATGAGAAGTCGTGACTGGTAAGCAACCAGTGTGAGTGCAATCATGTAAGACGTCACAAATTCACATGGTAGTCAGGCAAAACGTATGATAGTGATTAATGAAGTGAAATACAAAATCTGATCAACAGTCATATCTCGTAGATGAGTTCGTAGAGTATCGAGCCAGAAACCCGATGGTCACTGGTTCGAATCCCACTGCGGTCCAAATTTTCATATGTACTTTTGTAATATATTCTTTTCAATTAGAAATTTCTTTGTCTATTGTTTTTTAGGTGAATCTGTCCTGGAAACTGCGATTCACGATATCAACAGTGAAGATCTATTTCTGATGGTTGAAGTCGGTGATAAAATGAGTAAGAAAATACGTTTTTTTTCACTAGTTTTCTTTCGATGTTTGTAACTGATTGGCTAACATTTTCACTGTTAGACATTATTTTTTTTCGCTTGGGTTCCTAGTGGAACATAGGGCTTCAGTAGCACGCCTCCATTCCACTCTGTTCTCCGCAGTCTTTTGGACCTGGCACCATGACTCCTCACAAGCTTTCATTTCTTCCTCACACCATCTCCTCCATGTCACCCTCAGCTTAGATGCCTAACTCGTCGTTTCCCCTTTTGGTTCCATTCGAGCGGCTGGCCTGGTGGGTGATGTCCCCAATCGGTCTTCTCAGTGTGTGCCAATCCATCTCCACTTCCTTCTGCATATTTGTTGAGTGATAGGTTGTAGGTTGGTTCGTTGCCAGCTCACAGTGAGTTCCTTGTTGCTTATTCTTACTCTTCTGGCCATCTGATCTTCAGTATTGAGTGAGCGTAGGCGGCAGCTGTTGATGATGTATGTCTGTAGTTTGTTGGAAGTGCTTTTCGTGATGCGCGAAGTTTGTGAACGATATAGCAGCACTGACTTGATGTTGGTGTTGAAAATCCGGATGTAGTTCACGTTTTTTTTTTGCTGAGTGCAGTGCAGTGCAGCTGATCTCCACACTGAATTCAGATTGATGAAGGAAAGCGTGTCTTGCTATCTTTCTGATCCTTGTTTTGACATCCTCGTCTGTTTCGCCTGTAGTTGAGAGGATTATGATTAGATAGGTGAAAGAGACTACTTAACCAATAAGTCTACAGCCTTACAATTCTTGAAGTCATCAATCCAGCTGATGTCTGTTATTTCCTCCCGGGTTATTGTTGACCGATAGATTGTTAGTAATACTGAATTCTCTTTCTTCCAGTTATCTTCTATATTGCGCAATTCATAGAGTATAGAGATATTTCAGTTATTTTTTAATAACTATATTACTTCGTTACTAAATCTTAAAGATATGTCTTCACTTAACTTGTTTACTTCACCACCAGAATATCAGTTAATGTTGTAGTAATTTAAGATGTAGACAGTATCGAAACGTTTGGGTTGGGTTGGGTTGGATTACATTACTTGCTTTCATTTTCTCCCAACTTGTGATTCTGTACTTTATGACTTTTAAGATGGGTCACTCAGTGGAATACGTGTACAGAACAATCATATCTACGGGTCAGTACATACATTTTCACCTTTGTTCTCATTCGATATGAAAGAAGCTTAATGAAATGTTTTGCAAACAAAAACAGTAGAATCTGCTCAGATAATTTCATACAAAAAGATTTAGAATATATTCATAATATGCTGCTAGAAATGTGTTACCCTGCATAGTTTTATCAAGAGATACATGAATAAAATGAGTGAGAAATCTGATCAAATGACTGTTCAAAATAAATCATTATTCATTAAGCTTCAATTTAAAGGGGATACACTTGATAAAGTTCTATTTCACAGCCTGTCTACAGCCATCATATAAACCTTCTTTCCTATCAATCTTTACCTTTTATTTTCTAGTCGATCGATAATTGTTACTTAGACAAAAAAAAAAAAACTGCCCAGTTCTATTACTTCGGTGTACATTTCTCAATTCAGTTGCTCCTGTAGAGAAAGCTATATTGGGCCTACAACTAGGCTGCTAAAAAAGTGTGTATCTGAGCACCTACTATCATGACTAGAAAGGGGATGGAGTGAAGTCACGATGAAGTTCAGTTCTCTCACATTTAGTCGATAGCTGTCATGTAATAGAGAAGACTAAAGTGTTCAAAATTATCAATGATATTTCATAAAATCTTTCGAATTCAATTCATGCTCGCATTTTATACATAGCTAAGACTATGGGAATTAAGAGAAAGCAAAAACTTTAGTCTTTATGTGTAGAAAAAGTTTGTGCAACCTTTATCTTTGCGTTGATCAGAGAAAACCTAATAAATAACTTTGAAGATAAATTTAATTTTCATCCTCTTTTCTTTGTTCACTCCTTTGACACATGTTTGTTTAAATTTTGAGGGGGTTGTGGAGATTTGGAATTATTTCAAGTTGTTATTCATCGAAGACTGACATCATTTGGAGGAACAAAGGAAACCTGGGAGCACTGGACAGCTGTCAGTCTTCGATGAATAACAACTTGAAATAATTCCAAATCTCCACAACCCCCTAAAAATTTAATTGAACTAGTGCTCGTTGGTGACTAGCTTCGAGAAGTATTCCCGAAGTTCCAATGACAAGTCGTGACCGGTGGAGTCAAAGCCTGATGGTCGTGAGGACAAATACTCAACGATGACATTGGGTGGCGGTCTGCGCTATATCGTGAGCTAACAGAAGTTGGAAATATGGAGCATTGGATTCTGACCCAGTGGCTCAATGGTAACGCGCTGGTCGCGGGTTCGATCCCTGCTGGTGGGGTCGTGGGTGCGCACTGCTGAGGAGTCCCATACTAGGACGAAACAGCTGTCCAGTGCTCCCAGGTTTCCTTTGTTCCTCCAACTGATGTCAGTCTTTGATGAATAACAACATGTTTATTTGCTTAGACTTCGATTATCTACTCATTTCATCTTTTAGTATTACGTAACTTTTATTTTTCTAAGTTTCAATCGACATTCTTTGTCTAAATATTTGCACTACCATATGCTGTTCCCATTATTCTTATCACTATTGAGATAATTATTATTACTGGATGATGATTGAAGGTGAAATGAAAATATGGACCACTGCCGGATTTGAACCAGAGACTACCGGGTTTTGGGTCGGTCCTGTACACCGGTTGATCGTTATCACACTGGTTGCCCGCAGTCAGGATTTCTCATCCCAATCCAAAGTCCAGTGAATTAAAGAGTAGGGGAGGACCATATTGATTATTATTTTGACTATCTGAGATAGCTGGAAACCCGATGGTCGCTGGTTCGAATCCGGTCGTGGTCTGAATTTTCATTTCACCCTCAGTCATTACCCAGTACCAAAGTGGTTATTATAATAATCGTTATTACCATTATTATTATTATTATCCAGATACCTATCGTTTGCAGTCCTCATGTCCTAGTTACCACAGACTAAAGAATCCACTATGATTGGTTTAATATTTTATATATATAAGAAAATTTAATTTACATTAGCGTGAAGCTTGATGACAGCTAATTGAAAACAATATTGTTCACGCTGATATATCTTCTTATGTTGATCTATCACCTCCCATTCTTTTATTCTATTCCTTGTAAAGTTCTCTCAGATTTTCAATGGTTCCCCAACTGATGTCAGTCCATGCTGAATACTACCTCTAAAATAATAGTATTGCCTAAATATCTACTGTTTCCCTGCTTCATGTCCTCGTCACCACAGACTAGATCCATCCATCTAAATCAACATAGGACAATGCATTACTGCGTAACCGTCCGAGTCTCCACACCTCATATTAGTACATCAAGTAAAAAGGCAACGAACTGAAAGATGGAGAAAAGAAAACTCAGTCGAAAGAAGTATAAAGTACTAGAAGAGAGAAAGGAAGGATGAGAAAATGGTGAGATTCAGTATAGCGTTAAGGTGAGGGTGTGTGTGAGGATACATCTGTGCCACTGACATCGGTTCTCAGCCATGTCATCACCTAGAGTCTTCAACCGCTGGTTTCTCCTATCCCGTGGACCCCCAACCGGCTAGTTTGCATCGCCTCATATGCTTCAAACCAACAGTTGAATACTTCATACATTGATGTTGTGTTTTAGTCTGGCCACCTCGAACCTTTTTCTAACCTGAACCTACTTCATCCAACATTGATGAGGCAGACGGCGACTAGACACACATAACAGAGACTGGATAATCCATCATGATTGATTTAATGTTTTATATATCTCAAAAAATGTATATATATATTAGCGTAAAGCGTGATCATAGCTCATTGAAAACAATATTGTTCACTCTTTTTATGTCTTCCTCTAATTTTGGCAATGGGAATTTTTAACCTTCTTATTATCTATTCTATTTACATAGATGGGAAGATGCCAACAATAAATTTCGTACGCATTCATTGTATCAAGTGAAAGAACTTCCCACTTTGTTGGTATTGACATCGGTAAGCTCTTTTAAAACTACTATCACCTACTTGTTCTTTTATTCATTATCTTTGATTTGGTTCTGATTTGTGTTATAGCTCATTGAATTCGGTAGTTTTACTTTCAATCAAATGTGGGTCACTAGTTCCAACCCTACTCCACCTACTGACGTTTGGATAATCAGGTAATATTATCATTAGCTATCATGCAATAGATCTGTAGCTCATCGCCTATTGTATTGATTTCCACAAGATGGTGCTGAGTACATTTGATTTCGATATTCAATTGATAATGTAGCATATATGCATATATATATATATATATATATATATATATATATATATCTGCCAAGGCAATATATATTGTATCGTTGCTATTTGATGGGATAGAGTAAACTAAACTAGATTGGTGTTAATCATAGAGCGTTAATCAGTCGATCAGATTACCGAATCGTTACTCATTTTTATCTAGAGTGGAATATGACTGTAACAGGGAAGGTAAACATGATCAGATAAGTACACAACAACAATCCATGAAGCCAATCACTTTGTATAAGGTATATTTCTAGCAGTAGTAGCTGACTGATCACGCTGGTATTAATGTATTCTTTCTGTATCATTTTCACGGTTCTTGACGGTTCATTAACCTTCATTTGCTTTCCCCTTACCTTCAAGGCTTCTGCGAATAATTTCTCAAACAATTCATCATGGATTGACATCAGTTGGGGAACCATTGAAAATTTGGGAGCACTGGACAGTAGCTGTTTCATACTAGTATGGGATTCCTCTGTAGTATGCACCCACGACCCCTGGCTAGGGATCGAACTCAGAACCCTCAGGTCACTAGATCGATTTCCATTGGTTCACAATTTCCAACTTCTGTCAATTCACGATATAATGCGACTATCACCCAAGATCTTCAGTTGGCATCTGCTTTCCCTCCAGTGGATTGACCCCACAGGTCACGGCTTCATTAGAACTTCGTGATATCCATATGGAAGCCACATCGTGGGTGCGTACTGCTGAGGACTCCCATACTAGGACGGGACAGCTATCCAGTACTTCCCGATTTTCAATGGTTCCCCGACCAATGTCAGTCAGTGATGAATACTACCTCTAAATTAAAAATTCCCATCTAGTCATTGAAAAGAGAAAAGAGATTACAGCGAAGATGATTATCTTTTCGACCACTTATTTTCACGAAGATATATAAGTAGTATGTTAGAATATTCTAGACAAGTTTCCGACCAAAGTTCAAACTTAATCGATAGGCATATATATGGAGAATGAAATGATATTACATAACACAAGGTATATGTGATCTCAATAGTTTTCATAAAGTGTAATTAACAGTAAGATTAATCAGCATAAAATTACCAGTAAACAAATAAAATGTAAACCGTTTGTGCATAGTTTTGATATTAATGATGGATAGCGGTTAGCAGAGGGATCTAAAACGTGCGTTTTTTCTGAATTTGGGACTCATACTTGCCTCCCCAGTGAGTGATACTGTTCTCACCGGGACTCGAACTCGAGACCGATTGATTCAAATACCACTAGATCACCAAGTCACGATAGCCACAATATCGAGGCATCCGTACACGAGCTCATCTGCTAACAGAGACCTATCAATTCGATCCAATCAATGGCAGGATATTAAAAGCAACATCATAAAGGTGCAAATTACCTCATCAAGGCCATGGTAAAAGAGTGTTTGTATGTTCTTTTTTTGAATACATAAATAAAATTTGAGGCTATGAATTGCTGAAGCTTCGGATGCACCATTAGCATCTAACTCTTACCGCCTTTTGAATGGTTCGGCGGAACATTGTAGAGAACTTTGAGCGAGGTTTCCAGAGGAGCCAGATGTTCAACGATTAACTTAGAGATTGTTTTGTGCTCACCTAGACGGGCTGCTGGAAACTGATATGGATAAGCCTGAATATGTTGAGTACAAAACTGATTTCAAAAATCAGAGAATACAGATAGTGTAAACTATCTCCTATTATCAGTTACCAGTACGTCAGGAATTCTAAAATGCTCTGCATAGATATTCATGGACAGATATCAAGAAATGTATACCATGTAATTGTGCAGTGAAATCAATATGCATTCAACAGCATGGTTTGGTTGGTAGTGTACAACAATACATTTCTGTCTTTCATGAGCACTTTGATGCGTGCTTGGACACATTTGAAGCATCGGCGAACACCGTGTTCAATATGTTCAACTATCGATTTCATCCTACCAACACCAAGATGAAACGAATGAAGTTGTCAGAGAATATAGATGTGGAGATAAGCAGGAACCATCACCTGTTCTACAAACACTATATATTTGTTAACAATGAATAAACACTGTAGTCATTCGCTCGACGTGAGCTTTTCATATCCACTCCACCTCAGTCACTCAAGGTTCACAACTTCATCGACCAGCTGTCTTGCCTGGACAATTTTTACACGATGATTCCAAAAGTCCTGCGAAACCACATATGACCAAAATATTTACTGTCTTCACGCATCTTTTTTTAACGACCATATCTTATAGTCGTAGGTACTCGGAAGTCTCAAGAGTCTGTGCTAGACATGACGTAAGTCGACAAATGCTTCTGTGTTTGAAGTAGCCCATTCGGTCTGATACAACTCGCCAAGTAAGTGAAGAAACTTGAGTGCTGATAGAGTTGTGGGTGCAGTTGACACTTCCCGGCTGCCCACACCGTGGAAGGCTATTTCTTCTTAAGGTACCTGAAAGAGAATTTGTGTTACCGCAGAGCCCATCGGACTAATGCTTGAGGCCTGTCACACTCAGCCTTTTGTGTATGATTATTTTGAACTTTTGTATTTTGGGGGCCGGATGGTCGAAAGGAAACGACAAATGAACCAACACCAACGGCCCGGCAGATCGTGGGGCATGGTGGAGTGTGTTATTTTTGGGGCCGACCTTCTCTAACCCCAACTTCCACTGAGAAGGCAGCATCAGCATGGCACTGCTGGTCATCTAAGGGGAACACCTTACTGCTGTTACACCCTATCCAGCTAACAGCAGTACAACTTCGCCCTCAGACCCCCATCGTAGTGTAGTAATTTACACCACAACGGTATCTGTTTTTCGTCTAACCACTCTCCCAGAGGCCTTTGTGACATTGTGGGACCTCGAGGGAACAAATGTTCCACCAGCATAGCTTGTTGGCTCATTGTGATATGCGAGCCCGACCACTACGTCAAGGTAGCAACTATCGGTCGGGAAGTAAGTGAAGTAGTCAACGAATTCCACCACTTCACTCGTTATCCTTAAACTATATATTACTATGTATTATTAACTAACCTTGTTCAGTATATTTTGTTTGCCTTAATTTTAGCTAAATGGTCAAACTCATATCAATAATCGTCTTGAAGGCAAAGCATGCTTAGATTTGGGAAATGTTAAAAAGTTGTTTGGAGGTAATTAGCCTACATTGTCAACTGTGAGAAATATGCTGGAATTATTGTTTATGAAATGTTGATTTCACATCTAGGCAACAAATAACAATTTCTCTGTGTTCGTGAAATCATTATGCTGTATGCAGCATTATACTATAACCAGTTGAAGTCAATCAGACAGAGATGTATGTCGCTGCTGCTTCAATATATCACACACTCATACACATTTTCTCTCTGTGATCGATGTACTGCTGTTGTATGCTCTTCTTTTTCGTCTTATTTTTGTTTTCTCATTTACCTTGTGATGCATTTTCCTATGAGATATTAATTATAATAATATTATCTGTTGCTTCATCAATTCGCTTAACTTTGAGGTGATTTCGCTTGCTGGCGCGGTGGGCTAGCAGTAAAATTCTTCCTATTTACAGCTCGTCAGCTGATGGTATTTCTTGCTGAAAGTATAACCCAACTTACACTTGCCACTTAAGATACTAAAACATCATCCATTAGGCTCTACTGAATGAGTCATATATAGACTACTTGAATGGATGTCTCAGTTTTTGTTCAGCTTTAGATTATGTAATTAAGTTTGGGGTTTGTGGGGATCGAGAAGAGAGGCATACGCTGTTTGACCGATGGAAAGACCCTATGATAATTCATGTCTAATGTCCCACGAACTCGAAGATATACGGGCGAAAACTAAAAAAGTGGAAGAATAGGCGAGGCAGCGAAGGAAGACGGCACATCCTTCAGGTGAACAAAAAGACAGAGTTGATGAAGATACCCAACCAACAAGCCCTAATCACCATCAATGGGAGAAATCTATACGAAGTTGACTCTTTCACCTACCTCTCCACCTAGGCAACAGCGTTTCAACTGCAGGTGGCCGCGGCACAGATGACGATGTCAAGGTCACCATCGGAAAGACACCAAGACAGGCCTTCCTTGATTAATCTGAAATCAGTGTGGTGATCTACTGCACTACACTGAACTCCACTCAGCATAAAGTGTGATCGAAATCCAGATTTTTAACACTGATTGGTGTCAGTCAAGTCAGTCAGTGCTTCTATATGATGGTTGAGAGACACAGTGGCGCGTTACGAAAAACATTTCCAACAAACTGCACACATACATGATGAACAGCTGCTGCCTACGCTCACTAAATACTGAAGATGGATCAGATAGTCAGAATAATAAGAATAAACAAGAAGGAAGTCATCGTGGATGGCAACCGAGAAGCCATCGTCCAACGTGTATGCAGAGGAGGGAAGTGGAGATGGATTGGATATACACTGAAGACCGTTTTAGGACATCACACGTGAGGCCAGACCAGGCCCTCGAGTGGACGCCAACTGGGAAACGGCGAGTTGGGCGTATGAGCCGAGGGTGACATGGAGGAGATGGTTTGAGGAAGAAATGAAAGCTTGTGGGTAGTGGTGGATCCAGGTTGAGAAGCCTGGAGAGAAGAGAGTGAAATGTAGACTTTGCTACTGAAACCCTTTGTCCCACTAGGAACCCCAAGGGACAAATAATAAATTCATGAAGGATTGACATCAGTTGAACTCCTCAGCTGTGCGCACCCATGACGTCGTCTCGGATCGAACCTGGGACCTTTAGGTTCCTTGACCAGCACGTCACTATTGAGCCACTGGCAAACCTGGTTGGTGGACATGAGGACAAATACTCAACGATGACATTGGGCGATGATCGCTTTTTGTCGTAAACCAACAGAAGTTGGAAAAATAGACCATTGAATTGCTCCCCAGTGGCTCAGTAGTGACGTGCTGGACGCGGAATCTGAAGGTAATGGGTTAGGTTACTGGTGGGGTCACAGGCGCGCTCTACCGTAGAGTCCCATACTAGGACAAAACAGCTGTCGGGTGCCCTCAGCTTTCCAATGTTCCTCCAACCGATGTCAGTCCATGATGAATACCAACTTGTGCTCACGTAATTATCGTTAATTTACGACCAGATTTTTATTTGTTTCATTTCATTATTTTTTGTAAGTAGTAGGATCGGGTATTTCTACTCAACTGTGTATATTTCAGTAAGGTGAGACACTAAACTGTAGCATTTTGTATGATAAGAAAGATTGTTACACCACATAAAGAGATAAGATATGTAATCGATAGACTAACTTGACGTCGAATCAGTAAATGCAGCCTTGACTGCCTGTCACATGTTTGTCTCAAGGTCATGTTAGCGTTGACGTCAAGGTTAACTGTTCCGTTAACTTCACATTATTTCAATGTTTATACTTCCTCCTTCAATAAATATAGTATGAACAATAAATTTATTTGCTCAGGTGTGATTTTTTTTCCATTGAATACGTTTGTTTGTTAACGCATTTATGCTTAGCACATGGTGTGATGACTAGTCACAAGACAATTATATATCACACTTGTTAAACTGTCAAAGATGAAAGAAATCTGGTTTATTTTCATTTTAAAGTTCACCAATGGGTAGTGGTTGTTTGTCATTGAAATCATTAATTTTGTCACACGTCACAGTGATATCAATGCAGACAAAGTTTTGTGGGATAATAAACAACCTGAAGATAACGAATGGTGCAAATATTCAAGCTTTGGAAGATGTCAAGGAATGAATACGTTTGCGCCATGGTGACCGATTTTCAGCCATGTTATCAAAAGTCCTCAATCACTGAACCTAACTAGGCAGTCTACATCTCACGCAGCTCAGGCCAAGTCACAGACTTCATTGACTGGTGCGACGTTATGGTCTAGCCACCCTACACTCCCCTTCCAACCTAATCCACCTTCCTCTAGCATGACGCATCGAAGTAGACGGGAACTCGGCATGCGTAGTACATGCTCAAACCATTTCAGTCGACTAAGGTTCATAACTTCGTCAACTGACTTACTTATGTTACATTTCACCTGACCTCAACATTGCTCACATGATGATTCCACAAAACGGGAGTAATGCAACGAAGACACTTATTATCAAAACCCTGCAACTGCTCCATGTCTTCTGCTTTCAAGGGTCATGTTTCACAGCCGTACGACTGAACAGACTGCAGCTCAGCATACTCATCCTTTGATAGGTAGTCGGATATCTCGCCAGTCGGCCCCACAGTTGACGTGAATGACCAAATGCCGAGTGGTCCTTCTGTATCCGAGCTGAAATTTTATTAGCACGCGATTGGTTCGCTCTGATACACCTCTCCAAGTAAGTGAAGTGGTAGATACATTCCATCACTCCACTCTCTATCATTAAACTGAGAGTGGTTGCAGTGGAGCATCATGATACATTTGATAGGTGTCAATGAAATGCATGCCAAAAACAAATTTCTGATGAATCTGTCAAGAAGATCCTGTATTTTGTCAGCGTGTTCACCTAGCAGGACAAGGTCGTCTGCCTAATCCAAGTCAACCAGATGACCTGCAGGGAATAGGTGAATCCCTGTGAAGTCAGACGTGCATAGGGTTATGTCGATCAATACGTTTATGACGAAGTGAAATAAGATTGTTGACAGCGGGCATAGCTGCTGGATACCACCAGTTGTTATCAACTCACTTAAAAACTTTCCGTAAACCTTTATTACGGCTGTGTAAGTTCGAGTAGATAGCTTTGATAACCATTATATACTTGCTTGGTACTTCCTCAACAGTTAGACACTGCCACAACACCTAACTTTCGAGAGAGCCGAAGGCCGCCTTCACGTCAAGAAATATAGCGTGTTGACCAGTGACCGTTAGTCATGTCTGTGTTCCAGAACCTGTTTGAGGCTTAAAATATGGTCGAAGAATCCCTGTCCAAGTCTATCTGGAACCTATTTGGTTTTCTCAAGTTTTGCTGTTCTCGAACTCCAGTTAGGCATCGCATAACTATGTACATCAAGATCTTGGATACACTACTAATCAAGCTTTCTCCCCTATGGTTGTCACATTCAGTGGTGCAGACACACTAGTGCCCTCACTTCGGTGGACCAATGGTCAAAGAGGAAAAATCTCAAGTCATATGTTGAGTCGACTGCAACTATTTCAATACAAACTAATCTAAGCGATCTGGCTTGAAATTGATGGCTGTGACGCAAATGCATCGACATAATACCTTCATTCTAGTCGTCTTATTGTATTTCATTACTGTTTTATCATGTCTTTCTCTTGTTTTGGTCATACTTATTTCCTATTTCTCTGTTTGTTTTGGTATCTTCAACCGTTAGGCAACGTTGCCATGCATCATGTTGATACTGACTAACTTCTCATGAATGAATCTAGCCTAAAATTTGCTATCTAAGACTTGAAAGCAGGTAGCCAAATTCAAGTGATTTGAACTAATTCGGTTCTATGATCTGGATTTTCCTGTTTACACCGTTGATGAACTCCTGGGTTTGGATCACTATGATCTGGTTGATGGAATCTTCATATCTTGACTAAATGCTACTAACTACTCAGTTTGTTCAGTAGTATGTTTGGCTGGTGCATGACATTTTTTTGTCTGAGATCACTCATCGTGATCTTGGCTGGATAGTGTCGGACGGAAACCTTGTTGAAACTTTTCATTTGTTGAGATGTATGTTCCATTTTCAACGCTTCATCTATCACAAGAAACACTAAGTGAAATGTATATCAACTGTACTCAAGAAACCATTTTACATAGAAATACAATTCATGGAGGAAACGTCATGGGAGATAGTAAGTTAAAAACTTCGATGGTCTATCCAACGAACTTTTAATGTGGGAAAATTGTTACTTGTGTTTCCTACACGCCCATTTTTATATCTAACCTGAAAGATCAGTTACCTAGGCTGATTACTTCTTAGTGTGTCTATCAATTTAACTGCTCCTGTGAAGCCAGTTCAATTCGACAATGTTCTAGGAATTTAGTTTTCAGTGTTCATGAACACCTCTCAGTATGGGTAAATAAAAGTGTGGTGAAAAATTTAAATAGCTCACTTAGCTTAACCTTTTCATCACGGGGAAAAAGTGGGGCTAAAATAGCCTAGGGCAAACCATCAGTAAGACGCGGTGCTACTTCATGAACACATAACAAAATGAAAATAAAC